TGCACGTCTTATATAGCCTACCAGCTGAGACAGGACGTTAATCAATAATAATAATAATAATAATAATAATAATACGTACGCACGAGCCTCGGGGGGCGGAGTGCAGCCACGCTACTCCACGTTTCAATTACATCAAATTGGTCTTGGAGAAAGGATCAAGTGCGCATTGCTAGTCATGAATATCCTTCAAGAGTCTGATTTGGCAGTAGCACCGTTAGTCCCCCATGTCGGAGGCTATGGCATCGAGGTTGGTGTGGTAGGCACCTCGCTGATGCTGTTTCAGCCTCGCTCACTCAACAGCTGTGCCGCAGGCCTACATTCATACCCTGACATCGCAACAAATGGTTTAAAGTAACACCGTAGCCGGAAGAAATCACACAACAGATTTATCATTCCTTGTCAAGATGCTATCACCAACATCAAGTGCTAAGAAACCCAAAATCAATGGGAAAGATCTGGCAGAAAATAATATCTTCTTCTTTAGCCAGGTCCACCTTCCTGACGAGCTACCAGAATGGCTCCAGCCAATTTACCAGCTTCTTATTCGCCGGCGGACAAAAATTCCTTGCAACACTGAATACGACTTTGAGGGCGATGCTACATATATCCTTGATTTGGACAAGACCAAAAAGTACAAAACCATGACCAATAGTACTCTGTCATCCAACAGTTCTGTCGATAGGTGGGACTTGCAACCTAACGAGAAGGATTTTGAGACTGCACCTTCACGGAGACAGAGTCTTAAAAAAGCTGATACTGCCATTTCGAAGTTATCGCATGAATTGGAAACTTGCCTTGGAATCTCAGAAGAATTCGTCGAGTTACGCCAAAAGAAAGCACAGGAGCGCGATTGGCAAAACGTATTGCAGACACATATTTTCACTGACTATCAGAGAGGGAACGATAGCTCTGACTCTTTCAAGTGAGTGCTGCGTCATTTGGCATGGATCATAGCTAACTAGAGACAAGCAACATGATTCTAGGTTGGGAGCGGTGAGTTACTTTTTGATACATCAGCTTCGTTTTACTCATCCATCGCTCAGGCATCAAGAAACTTCCTGGAATGAATTCAACCATTCATTTACATCTGAGTCCGGGAACGACAACAATACCTTGACGTGTCCTGTACCAGACTTTACTTACGGATTCCCCATCATCGACATCGACGACCCTGTCCACAAACCATATATCAACCACCGATTGGCTAGGAATTTCAGCCTTCAAACGCTACACGACCTTAGAAGAGCTGGTGTATTATCCTCACCGCGGAAAGCCCTAGCGAAATGGAACTCTTCAAAGCACACGGGGGACCAAATGCGTGGTTCAGATCTCATGTGCTTCCCGTGGGCTGTCGTTGAGGTAAAATCAGCTCTCGGGTACGCTGATGTACAAAAAACGTGCTACTGTCAAGCTGCAAATGCTTCTGCCGCCGCCCTTAGCATACGGGAGAAGCTGTGTTTAGCTTCGAAGAAGAGCGACCCTAGTCCGGAAGCTCTTGTCATCTTCTCTTTCACATGTGTTGGTGCGGACGTCAAGCTCTGGCTTACATACAGGACGCCCGTAAGTTTTCAAGGACATATCTCACATTTTGCACGGGGACTGACATGTATTAGGAGAGGGAAGTGGTTATGCGATGTATATGGGCAACCTCATTGGAAATTTCGTGGGGTGTCTTTGTCCTACGCATGGTGTTTAAGAACATGCATGAATTGGTAAACCGAGAGGTCAGAAACGAACTTGCTCGATGGATTGAAGCAGCTAGGGGATGTTCAACACCTAAGGGTTTTCCAAGTCCTAATAGTGACTCGATAAAGCAAAGCAGAAGATCTGCATCCCACGAGTCGCACCCCGAACGTCTAATAGACAGTCCTCTTTCGCGAAAGTCAAATCCTTCTCCGAAACACACTGCACAACGTTCTCAAAAGACTAGCCGAATCATTCGCTCTGCTGCGCCAAGTCCAACTTTCGGTAAGGCTCAGAGCACAATCGGACGTAGAGCGAAGGCAAACAGCATTGGATACGATGATGGTAACGATAAAAGTGGTGCCAGCGATGATGGTAGAAAAGAAAAAAAGGCTAGTGAAGATTCTCTGGACGAAGGCTACTACAGCCCACCTAAGAAAAACGGTACAAAGAAAGCCACATCAGCCTCATCATGGAGTTGTCAACACACTATGTACTGCAACTGCAGCGATGAGAACTGCTGGTCAGCCGAAGGGGAAGATACTGGTAGTGAAGATACTAGCAGTGAATATGTCGGTAGTGAAGGTACCGACGAAGATAGTTTTCCCTCACTTTCCCTCTCCAGGAGGAAAAGGTAGCACACGGCACTCTGGTCATTACACGAGCGGGCAATGCGGGGAGAGGATGTCTCTCCGTTATTTGCGGATCACATTCAGTTTGATGGTCCTATTGGCTGGTACTGGTTGAGTTACCGGTGTGCGACAGGGAAGCGATTTATAGACAAGTCTCAACACGGGAAATGACTGCATGGGTTGTTGAGCAAATTTGTATTTGTACTGTATTTGTTCTTGCACCTCGTCTTGTAGCAAAAGATCATTTTTGTTCACACTCTATACTACATCAGATGACTAGACATGTAGATTGCTCACCAAAGTCCAAGTGTGTGGAGCACGAGTGCGTTGTCTTGAGAATGCTGGACATGTTGCGTCAGGAGAAACGATACATAGTAATAATTTTAGTTGTGGTATCGATTGTCTGATTTTCATACACGACATATGAAGTTTTGCCATAGTAACATCTGCTCCCCTTTTTGCGGAAAGTTCTCTCGTCCGTGAGAGGTCTCCGTAAATACCTCCCATGTGTTCAGTGTTCATCCATCGGCATCTCCTTCTCAGTATCTATATATATGTCCACATCCATGATCATGGCATTGTCACATGCGTTACTAACAAAGCCTCGTGCCGATTGTGAAGATGTGGAGCAAGCAGCATGTGGCCGTAATCCATGACGGGGTTGATGAAGCAATCACTACAGGAGTTGAAACAGTGCTAATGATGTCGCCGTATTGGCTCGCAACCATCAAAAGCCAAGCGATTCCTTAATCGCATTGATCATGTTTGGAAAGTTGTTCGTGGGTGACTCCAGTCCGTGGAGGATGTTCCCTTCCGTTAGCGTGACGGACTGGTAGATGACGCCCAACGCTGCGACTATAATCTAGACCTTGTCGTTGAGATCGTAGGTATCTGGCATGTAGCGGTTTCTCTAGCCATTTATTGTCTCGTTGCCGTCGGCGCGGTCTATAACGCTGATGACGCACGCTTCGCCAACTTCCTGCACAATCCTGCACCAGAGCAGCGCGCGGCAGAGCCGTAGGCTACTGGCGATAATGTACTTTCTCTGGTATGAGAACGTCTCCCCGTTAGCTGCGCGCTGTGCATCGGGGTGGGGAATCGTCGTCTTCTGGCAGCCGATGTCCTTGATCGTCTTGAGGACGTAGTCCATCTTGGCTGAGCCTCGATAAGCCTCCTTGGCTATGGTCCACAGGAACGAGCGCTTGATGGAGACGATCGTTTTTCGAGCCAAGCGAATTGCCCCAGCTACACTGGTCGCCAATGATCGGAGGCTCGGCGGGGTGCTTGGCTTGCCACTGTTCGATGGCGGACAGGATATTGGGGAAGGTATATAGGATCCGTGCATTATGGTAGGCTGTGGGATCCGCGGTGGAGAGGGCAGGCCGCTGGGGCTTCTCGCCACGGCCCCCCTTGTCCTCCCACTCCTGCATATTCTCCTCCCACAGTTCCCTCTGCACCGTCTGAATTCGTTTCTCAGCCTGGGAAGACACCTCGTGGAACTCAGGGTCGTAGTCAATGCATATATAGTCGACATAGAGCCTTAAGGGGACCAGGTTAAGCGGTCGTCCCTACGGATCTTCATCTTAAGACTCGTGCAGTATGTTAGGCTGTGACCGAATACCCCAAACGAAACGTAGAGGTCGGGTCGTTCTGCGGGCGACAGACATCGAGTATTCCACAAATATTTGGGTGTATATACCCCCTTAAACTTTTGTGAAAGCAGATAAACTTGGCAGGGACTGGTCCCAGGTACGATTGATGTAGGGTGCTCATTCATCAAGTCTTGAACGGGATCTTTCAACCAGCCTTGAGGATCACTAAACGAAGCTTGCGGGGCGAACGGGTAAGGTGGAAGGTAAGATTGAGGATTATGGTGAACGGCGTATGCAGGCGGTTGGTATGGCGGGATCTGCAACGTTTAGAGCAGCCCTTTCCGACTTATCCCAGGCCACCCTCTTCCTACTGAAGCCTTAGACAATATATCATGATGGTTATATGCCAAGCCAGATTTACAATCAGCATCGTCTTCCAAGGCCATGAATGACGCAAAAATTGATATAGACGCGTAGAAGGCATAGCGAGTGGATTCATGAAGTGTGGTGTATCGTCTCTTCCAGATTCTTGACTCCTTTTCTTGAGGTCTGGAGAAGTATCGAATGAACCCAGCGTGTAGTCTGTCTGGTAAACGTGATGGGCAAATACGACATGGGAGACTGTTGTGAAGCTCTGCCATGATCTTCAAACACATATATAGCGCAAAGTAAATTGCAAGTAGTTATGGATCGAGATAGGAAACGAATAGCAGTGATGGTATATGACAGATATTGGACGGAGGATGATTCTCAGCTGAGGACGCTTCTGATCATATTTTAAAGTAGGACATTATGGCTATGATCATGTGTATATGGTGCTGTGAATGCGGTAACAAGTTTGTGGCGGCGTGATTGTAATGCCTTGCTTTTCGTTTTCTTTGGTTTTCCTGCATTTGTGGTGTCATAGTTACCGTGTCCTTAGTGCAATATTGATTATACCCATGTTTCCCGTATTTTCCACTTATGATCTTGTATTTATTATGTCACGATTGCGTTACCGAGACTACGATATTATTCTTGCATTGCGGAAAACAGAAAGATTTTCTTGCCAGAATGCGCTTGTACCGTGCTTGTACCGTGCTTGTACCGTGCTTGTGACATTTTGATTGCTCTGTTGTTGATTTTTCGGTTCTTTACCAAAAACTCTTTTCACGAAATTTCTAAAAACTTGGGACTGTACAAACCATGGGCTTTGAATCTATTTATCAAAGGTTGTGCTTTCTGAGATTGGTGTGTTCAGAACAGCAACACGGCTCTTAGCCCTTCATATATGTAACAAACCTTTTCTTTTCCCTACGTCGCTCTCTACACATATATCTTCACGCAGCCCAAGAAGGCTTTATGAAATATATATACAACCACCCTGTTCTCAATGCTCGCGCCGAGTATGACCAGTTTCACAAGTCGATGCGCAGTGACGATGACGGCGTTCGTTCATTTCTTTCCTAATGCCGGGAAACTCACCACAATCGCTGTAAAACTTCCTGTCGTTCTATGCAAAATCCAACTATTTCTAACGCTGTCTTTTTCGAGGCCCCTTCGAGACAGGTGCCCCCGCTGTCACCGAAATCACCAGCTGGATACACACCCATCACACAGATACAACCTGGCAAGTAGATTCTTCATCTGCTCCGGAAATCACAACATACACTCACCGAGCCTTTGAATCACTTTAAAATATCTACACACTCTACTCTTCGGTCCGTCGAGCCAGTTATTCACACCAACGCCTATGCACCACCACTCCCATCTTTTTCACTCCCGCCTCTTTCTTGTCAGACGCCACTCAGCATAACGAAGCCTCATAAAACGAGCAGTGAGAACCCAGTCATTGTCAAGAATAGTGCGGGAGATAACGACAGAAACCAACATTACTCCTGGCTCTTATGAACAGAATATTCCAACGATAACGAAAAACGCAAAACTACACCAGTCAGAGTAATGTGCTAGTTGATAGCACCCTCAAGCACGTACTGGAATCTTCTAAGAGGTGATATATTCCTTGATAACGTGGATGTGCATGCCCACCACAACTTTATTTGGGCTCGTATGCAAGAGCTCGAGTTGCGTGCCGCGAACCAGCAACTTGATGCCCACCTCGAACTGTTGCAGAAATCTTTGATGGAGAACATTCCACTCCATCTACAGGCCCAGTGTACATCTCCAAAAGAAACGAAAACTGGAGACAGTGCACGAACCCAACAACGGTGGAGTGAGGTGCCATGAGAACTCGAGTCGTTGTACCCAGTCACAACCATTGACAAGTATACTTCCTCCCTCAGTGAGAACATATAGAATGACTACCATGAAGTAACCTAGATCATTGTTCTACACCAAGCGATCATGCAACAAAAAGAGCAGAAGAAGATCCTACCTCGCCGACAAAATATTTTTGCTCAAGGCGTGTCCAAACATGCCGGTCACCATCACTACCGCTATACATAGTCCCTCTACGACGTTCATTCACAGAAACTACGACAACCTAAACCATATATCGTTGTTTCCCACGAAGCCACAACATAGGAAAAATAGCTGAACAAGACTCCACCTCAACGCCGAGACGTTTTGCTTGATTCGTGGCCGAACATGTCGCAACAACAATCCCAAAGTCTAGTACTACGATGTACAGCCGCAGCTAAATATTTCGCCTACTCCGACCGCGCAGCAAAACAAAGCCTGCCCCCCACTATCCCTATGCAAGGACACTACTACCAGGCCTATCATTACTCGCAGCTCCCGACCTGCCTCTTCGCCTCTAGTTCATCCCTCTACGTATTCAACTTAAAATCCAGATCGGCCTCGAAGACATCGTCAAGATCTACCGACATATCATATTGTCCGCTGAGTTAAGTCGGAAGAGCAGTATATACACATAAAGATAACCAAATCCGGCATTCCGTCACAGCTACTGATTCTTGATATACTTACGGGAATAACCATCCATGCACAAGTGCACGCCGAGAGAGACAATGCGTATCTGCAGGGCGTTCGAATGCACAATGTAGACGGCATGCCCCAGGAAGAACTAGAAGTTTATAGGGCGCGAGACGTTTAGGGTGTTGCGAACAACTGGGACCGTTGATGCGGACGGTGGATATATATGCAGTGTTTTTTTGTGGATGCGGCGGCAAGAAGCCTAATATCGACCATCGGACCCATAAGTATAGGGATATGAGCACAACGTACACGAAGAGCAGCAAACGAAAATGACGAAGCTCCGCTACGGCTTCTTGATTGACGATGTCGCAGATGCATTACTCGATGCAGATTGACCAGCCCCTTTGACGGTTGGCCGACGTTTGCTGGACCACATCCGACGAAGAGTAAGGGCGGCACAAGCAAGAAAGCAGCAACAGATATTCAGGTAGACAAAAAGCGCATGGAAAAATTCTGGCTGGGTCCTCGCTACCAAAAACATATATCCGTTTCCAAGGTTCTTCTCCCAATAAGGGATTGCGGGGTTTGGGTTGTCGGAAATTGCATTTTTCTCTCAAAGGGAAAAGGAGAAGTAGGACAAGAGAGAGAGAAAAGAGACGAAGACTAGGAAGACTATACGAGTGAACGGATATGGGGGCTAGGGTTATATGGAGGAAACGGGACCAGGACGATATTGTAGTGGTTGTTGTTAAGCAGATTGATATGAGATGGGATTTCCGGTTCGCCCTTTTGTTGTCTTTTTTAGTCGCATTCCTTGGGATGATGTTGGCCAACAAGGGCGAAAATGGATAGGTCCACTTGGAGAAAAATGCAACAAGTGCTTGGAATAATACAAGTGTTGAGGTACAACGAAACAAGCAGATTGGCACATTGATATGAATAGTTCATGTGATAAATATTCCTCCACGTAGTCTACTCTAAGTGTATCAGACCAAGTTCTAAGGCGACCCAATCACCTATTCCAAACAAGTCCTGTACCATGACACCCAATTACACATCGATAGCGTGTTTACATGGGAGTACCGCGGGGCCTATGTGACACAGCGCGATGCTTTTGTGGCTGTTCCTTGTACCTATTTTACAGTTAGTCATTATGCTCATCGTGTGCAGAAAAAAGAAAAAAACTCACTTTGTCACAATCCTCTGGATCGAGTCCAGACCCTTCTCCAGCACATCCATGCGGGGGCCATAGCTCAACCTGACAAAGTGGTGGCAAGGCGAGTCGAACAGGTCCCTACGCCTACTGGGGTTGAGATCGAAAAAGATACCAGGGACAACAATAACCTTCTCCTCGAGACAAGCCTGGAAGAAGTTGAGACCGTCGTTGATGCCCTCGGGAAGGTTAGACAGGTCGAGCCAGAGGTAGAAAGTCGAGTTGGGCATGTAGGGGAACTTGAAGCCGATTTCCTGGAGACGGCCAATGACGTAGTCGCGCTTGGTGCGGAAGTGCATTTGCAGAGCGCGCATTTCGTTGCGGACACGGGGAGGAGAAAGCATCTCAACGGCGGCTTCTTGGAAGGGCACGTTGCAGCCTCCGTCAAGGTAGGAACCGCAGGAGCCGATGGCCTGGATGAATTCCTTGGGTCCAATAACCCACGCTACACGCCATCCGGGGAGACGGAATCGCTTGGTAAGACCGTCAATGATGAGCACATCGTCCTCGTCTACATCCTCGACGTTGTCAGCAGCCGAGATGACGGTACCGTCGCAGTTGGTGGTGTAGTTGTATCCGCAGTAAAACTCGTCCATGATCAGAGTCGCGCGATCTCTGCAAATGTTCTGGATCTGGGCGAGTTCGGGGTTGGTGACCATCTGGCCGGTTGGGTTACGGGGGTTTGATGTGAGAATGACAGAGGTACCACGGGCAATTTCCTCTGCAATCTTGTCGGGCGACATGTGGTATTGGTCCGCCTCGCCTAGAGGGACGGGAATGGCGGCGATGTTTCGGAAAAGCGACAACATCTCGTTGTACGCGGTGTAATCTGTACATGTCAGTTATGAGACCAGGCATATATCGACACCTTCAGCGTACCGGGAATGAAGAAACCCAAGTAGCAGTTGCCCAGCACAGCAGCGATACGGATCAAACCAGCACGTCCACCAGGGACGATGCAAACCTATACTTAATCAGCCATTTCTGCCAAAAGACGAATTGCACCGTTTTGGCCTACATTCTCCCATGTGTACTGGCTCTTGCGCCACTTGCGGTGGTGCTCATTGTATAGTGTTGCAACCGCCTCTCTCAGCGGCCTGATACCAGCGGTAGGACCGTACTCTCTGCCGTGAGCACTAATATCCACCTCTCTCGGCCTCTCGAAGCAGCCCTCAATGCTGTCGTCGACCTCAGGCGCACCCTGACCTAGGTTGGCCCATTCCTCTGGGTGTTCGAGGAAACCGTGCTTGTATGCTTGTTCCGATGTCCAAACGACACCCGTCGAGGCGCGCGTCGCGTCGAGACCGGCGTGAGGCTTGTGGCCTTCGTGTGACTGGCGGAATTGGCGATGGATGGAGGAGCCAAGCTCTAACTGACTGTCAGCAAATTCGTCGCTTGCGTGTATATGTCCCTTTGAATGAAGGCTTCAAGGAAAAGCGAGACCTGATTCGTGTCGTGCGTGGGACATGGCTGCAAATCGTCGTGGGGTAGTACTCCAAGTGAGGGGCGGATAACGAGCGGGAAAAAGCAAAAACAAAGAACCCCAAAAATTCCCAACTAAGCCTACACAAACATGCAGGAAAGGGACTGGAGGTGAATAGATAGGATAAACCTTTTGCCAAACATGCGGGCTTTGAATGGATAGATCCTCTTCTATCAGATATGGCCCCAATTTTCCCTCGGTGCTCCACATCCACACCGACGTTGCAATGCCTCCGATGCTAGGACCCGGGCCTCAATCTCGAGGATGACGTAGGCAGCCCAACATTGGCCTTCTCTTCAGGGGGCTCAAGGTGAGAAAAAAAGACAGAAATATACATACCACTCTCAGTAGGATCCTTTGAACTCGAAAAGCGGCGCTGGGAAAACGCTCCCTTCAAATGGCTGACCTTGTCCGCCGAGAAAGACATTGTTGCTACGAGGTATGGAACGAGGATCTAGATGGAGACGAAAGGAGCTGAGGGCGATGGAAAAGGATCGGAGGAATGAAGAGAGGAGTATGTAAAGTAAATAGGGAGCAAAATAAGGCCAGGACCCAAATCGGTAGTCACGGAGGGCAGACTTCCGAGAGGGACAAGAGAGACCAGAGACAAGATCCCAGACGAGGCTTTTAATGCTTTTCCCCCGAACCACAATGCGGGAAAAAGAGTCAAGGCAAGTTAACTAGGCGCAATTGTGAGCCTGAGACCAAATAAAAACGACACCTGTCCAACGAACACAAAAGGGCGTCTTCAATCGAACCAAACAAGCCCACACCTGCCCATCCATCGGCCCTTTATATCTCGCCGTTTGGGTGAGGGGTGAGGGGAAGGGGGGGGCGGCGCTGTGGCTCGCGCACCGCACAAGGTGCATACCAACGGACTCGTAACATGCATATTTTGGTCGTTTGGTTGGTAGCTATCCATGCCCCGTGGCAAAAGAGCCCTAGGGAGGGGGGCTGCGCTGCAGCAGCGGCGGCGGCTTACTACCCAACCCAATACCACCCCCGTTACATGGCGTAACAACAAACCACGTTAGTCTGATTTCCCAAATGCACTCCACCCTATTCTCTGACCGCCCTTGCGCGGCCTTTTTGCTCCCAGCCACTACCGGGGATAAAAACGGCATGTCACTTAAGCCACATACACCACCATGGTATCATGGCAACACTAGAGTTGTGTGAAGAGCCCAGGCCACAAGTGGCGCAGAACCATTCTCTAGCCTGGTATCAAGTGCCTCATGAACGGGAAGGGCAAGAAACATGTTGGCGTGTTGCAAGCTGCAACAATGGCACACACACACAACCCCCTGTCCCCTCACTCTCGCTCTCTGTCTATCTCTCTCTTCACCGCTCTCGCGGCAATACCTCGCGGGCTGTGGAGTAAGTAGGTAGCCTCTGTGGTGGGGCACGCAACACGACTCCCCCCGACCCAACGACCACGACGTTTTTCGGAGCGAATGCTTCTGCAGCAAAGGGGACACAGCGAACCTCGCATCGTATACCCGCATACCTGCATATCCCATGTCCCATGCTGTACGCACAACCCTCTGGGCCATTGGTGGCAGCGGAGGGAGGCCCATTGGGCGGCTTGGCGCTGCTGGCACGTTGGCGTCTGGCCGTGTGTGTGTGTGTGTGTGCGTGGCGGGGCGGGATCGGTATTGTATCATGTATGTATGGTAGTTTCTACGCTAAAACCTTTTAATCCATGTCAAAAAGCCAATTTTTTGACTGCGCGTTTTCTGAAATCTACATCGGCTATGTTGCTTTGCTCGTCGTTCGTACATACATCTTCACCTACTTTATCAATCAACCTATATGTACTTCCCACCGCCAGAAGATAAGAGACCAGGACCCAATCTGCTACGTGCACTTCCCCCCCCCTCCCTCATCGTATCGGTACCCGCCTTGTTTCTTCTCCCAAGCTCCCACCGCACTTTTGCTAACACGGCCCGCCTGTGTAACAGAATAATGCCTCATCACAGATTTCCTTTTTGTTTGTGCCTGACATAGCCCAATCTCACCTATCCCCCCTCCCCCCCTTATTTTAAACTTCTTCTTTTTCTCAGGTACGGGCTGTTACATCATGCATGTCTGACAATTCGCTCGGCAAAAGGCTTATCATGACATCCCAAGAAACTGGGCATGTTGGCAACGGTACAGGAAGGGGGGACTGAGACGGCTCTCTATCTCACTCTCACTCTCACATCTTCTTCCTTTCAACTTGGTCGAAGAAATAAAAAACTCGGATGAAAGAAAGTCATCAACAAGTTGCAGGAAAAAAAGGCAAAATCGACTTTCTCATCTCAAACATATCGAAAGGACTAACATGAGCCATGGATCACATAAATGGACTAAAATCAAAAGTCCCGTAATCTCTAGAGCGAATACAGTCTTTCCTTAGTCCTACATACACAACTTATACATACGCAGTTTAACCCCAACGAAAAAGATAACAGAAAGAAACAAAAAAGAGACTGAACGCGACAACGAATACTACTCTACAGGATCCTCCTCCAGGAGCACCTTGAAGCTAAACGGCTCAAAGGGCACACCGTCACCAATAAAATGCTTGCTCATGGCTTCGACCCAGTGCAGACGCAGCGAATGCAACATGGCACTCGTGCCCTCCATGACACACAGTACAGCCACCGTGAGTGCGAACCAGAAGTAGAACACAAACACCATGACAAACGCGCCCGCAACACCCGTAAAAGCAAACGCATTCTTCATCGTCATCTCCCACAGCACAATCGACAGACGCTGATGGGCGAGCGACAGGGCCCACAGACGGAGGTAGGATGCAGTGTGCGACACACAGTTGAGACAGAATTCTGATTCCCAAATGTTAGAAAAAGCTTCCTCCTATCAAAGAAATATGCCTTAAACTTACCAATCGTGTGAATGACCTGGTGGATCATGACTTCGCTAAACTCAAACTCTTCGTGCTCTTCGCCATGGCCAATGTCTTGTGTAATCATAGCGATGCCGTCGTCATCATCTCCAAAGCTGTCACGACCACCGTTCAAAGGACGGCCGTCTTCCTCATCATCGTCGAGAGCGCTGACGCGAGTGCTCTCGCCAATGCCACGGTAACCCAAACCACGCGCCTTGTTGTGCTCATAGCGAAGGTAGAACGGCTTCAAGAACAACAGGACAGGAACGCAAGCAAGAGCCATCAGCACCAAGATGACTTGGATGGTAGCCTGGCCGGGGTAGAGCGGCTTTGTCCCAGCCTCGAGGGTACCGGGGCTCAGGAACATGTAGATCAACATGTTCAACAAACTAGGTGGGCTTTCGCCGCGGGCAGGCCAGTCAATGCACCACTTGTACACAATCGTAAAGGAGAGGTAACCGAAGATGGACTGGAAGAAGATCATACCAGGGACAAAGTTACCCCAAATATCAATCTTCGTCTTAAAGTAACGTGCGTTGACAAGCGACCACATGAGCGAGAACGTCATGTGGCACCAACCGAGCAAGATACTGAGCTTCATCTTGTAACTGTTGGAGAACAGCAGGTCGTTCTCGGTGTCGTGCCAACGGTAGTCCAGACCGAATGGGTAGGTGTAGCCCTCGACACGGGTTGCAGTTGGGCCCTTGCCGTCGTTGTCCCACACCCACATGGACTTGAACCAGGGCAGACCAAGAGAAAAGGCGTCGCAGTAGAGGAGACCGGTGTAGATGGAGAAGATACCCATCATAAAGACAATATAACGACCGTAGAACATCATGGAAAACAGCTCGTCAAGTTTGCTGCGCTCAAGTCGCTTTTCAAAGTGAATCATGGCCATTGCTGCAAGAGTGAGGATAACACCGTGTCCGGCATCACCAAACATGACAGCGAACATGAACGGGAACGTGACAATGGCTGGCAGAGCAGGGTTGACTTCGCGGTACTTGATGGTTCCGTAAGCGTCAATGATGGTCTGGAAGCCCACAGTGAACCTGTTCGACTTGAAGTACGTCGGTGGCGTCTTGGTGGTCTTGATCTGGTTAACAATCGTTGGGACCGAAAGACCAGCCCGCTCATTGACGTCCGACAAGGTTGACTTGATCAGTCCAAGGGAGTTGGTAGGAGCCCAGGCCTCGGCAATGAGCGTCTTGCGCTGGTGGTCGTACGAGAACTTGTTCAGTGTCTCGTACGTAGCCTTCTCTTTCTTGATGACAACCATCCATGCTGCGAGGTTACGTCCTATCGCAGTCAACTCAGCGTCCAACGTAGACTTGGTATTCTTCAAGACACTAGCCAGGTCGCCCAGGCGAGTATTGACTTCGCGGATCTGGTCCCGGCGCAGCTCACTGTTCTCGTCCACGCTGTATAGATCGGCACCGAGCGACTCAGAGATCTTGCGGATCTTGGCGATAATCTCCTTGCCGTGAGCAAAGATGATGAAAACGTTCTTGCTGGTCTCCTCGTTGTTCTCAGGGTTTATGATGGGCTCAGGGATTTCTGACTGGTTCATGTACAGGTTACCACGAAGAGTACGCCACAGGATGCGTTCGAAGGCGGCGATGCGTTCGCGAGGAATGACACCAGCAACAAAACCGATATTCATGACGGTGAAGGAGCGCTCAGCGCCCGACTCGCCTTGTCCATTCTGCTCAACATCCTGGAGTAGCGGCGCGTCATCGTCATCGACAGATTGCCTGATTTCCTCAGTCTGGCCGCGCGCCCTGTCGAAGAAGCCGCCAGCCTCCCTTAGCACCCAACGCCACTCTGTGAGCTCCACTTCACGCTTCTTCAGTGTCTCGTAACTCTCATTCAGAGACGAGATCCTCTGCTCCAAGCTCTGGCTCTTGTCCGCAAGTTCATCAATCTCCGAGGCCGAGGGCGCGGTGAATGGGTTGTTGAAGTCGTAGATGGAGCGCATCGGGATGCTGGACTTCTCCATCTGGCTGCGAAAGTATCGGAGCTGACGCTCTACGTTGTCGAGGCGGCGAATCTCCTGGGTGAAGGTACGTTGGAAGGCCGTTGTCTCAGAGTTGAGCTGTCACCGCTTGTGAGCTTCGTGTCCCATCGCATGCATCCACAAGCTGCACTAGAAGCTGCAGAACATGTCCATAAAACTTACATCTCTGAAATCCATGACCCCAAGCTCTCCAAGGGCCGAGACGACCTCGCGACCAATCTCATTGGCAATGTAGAGCTGGGTCAGGGACATGTCCGCCGAGCGGAACATGGTGTCCTTGGTGGGCGCCATGATGGCGGGTCGAGAGACAAGACTTCGAAGATGGGGTGCTTGTCTCGGGGGTTGATGGGTGGACGCGATTTGCGAGATGGTGGTTGATGGAGAGCTGCCTCGAATGCAGGCGATGATGCGGCGAACCAGGTGCTTAGCGTCCTGCTGCGCGCCAAGCCTTGCTGTTGATGTCACTTGCTTTTTCCGACCATGCAGCTCACGTGTTTTGTCCATGGTCAGCCAACGTCACAGAGAAGCAGTAGATTGAACTTTGCTCGGCTTCAAAGCCATGAGGCTATCAACCAGTAATGAATTATCTAAACAGACATCCCGTGCCTAAAAGCAAATCTCCCAAGACGTGTTTGCCTCATCCTCCAGTGCTTGAATACAACGCTACACGCCAACATCATACAACAAGAAGCAAGCCAGCACTCAAAGCACGCTGATAAATCAAAAGGCAAGGAACTAGAATGATGCTTGATTAACACAACAAACAGGTACCTCAAAGGAATGAAAGCCCACCGTACCGATTAAACCACAAAACGCGACAACGCAGAACACCATGCATCCATAAGCCGGTCATTTATTGTGAGTAAAAGATTTTGAACCAGAAAAGGATAAAACAAGAGAAGAGATTCAAAGAATGAAAAACACCAAAAGAAGAAAAAAACCCGGATGCCGCCTCCCACAAAGTTCGCTATTGAGTTTTTGAGGCCGCTCGCTGTCGTTAAGTGGATAACTAAGATGCACTGTAGAAACGAGCTTCGTCCGGGAAACAACAGGTATCGTAACCAAGAACCCAGATACGCCATGCTGATTGCAAATGAGAAATTCGGATAATGGTGAGCAACATGTGCAAGACAAGACGATAGGCCTCAGAGATACAGGGGAGAGATATAGTCTGTCATTCATTGTTGAGGATAGTAGCCTGCTGGCTGCATTTGCTGTGGGTAGTAGTAGGCACCATCGGGGCCTGGCGTCATCATGCCTCCCATGCCCGGAACAGCATAGTTGGGCTGAGCGTAGTTTTCTGCCGGTGGGGCCGGGTAAAGTTGAGCCGAGTCGACGTAGTATGTCATACCGTTGGACTCGTAAGCCACCATGTTGGATTGACCGGCAGGAGCTGGTGGAGCAGCGACCGGGGGAGCAGATACTGGCATGACATAACCGGGCTGCTGTGCGCCAGGAACAAACATAGGTACCATACCCGCCGGAGCCATGTATTGTGGCTGTGCACTGTTTTGTGGATAGTAGTAGCCTTGTGGGACAAAGGCTTGCGGTTGAAAACCAGGCTGAGTATAAGGCTGGAAGGCTGGCGCATGGATAGCCCGTTCGGGAATATTGTTGAGTGGAGTTCCCGTAGATACTTGACTTGGATAAGACGCGTGGCGTCCATGTTGGTAAAATGACTGATCGGGAGCAGGGGCAGCTCCATTGATGTGCGCAGGCACTTGTTGATGGAAAGGCTGCTGTTCTTGCTGCTGGGGTGGGTTGAAACTCAACGACGCTGGCGACTCAATTCCAGCAACAGACACAGTCTTTTGTGGACGAGGCTGGTGCATGGGGAGCTGACCTTGCCAGTTCTCTCGGAAAGCCGGCTTCTGTGGGAGCGGGTATGGAGGCTGAACAGCGCCATTTGTAGGTGAGATCATGGAAGATCCAGTTGACATCCTGGGACCTCCAGGTGGAAGACGTACCACTGGACGACTGGGATCAACGAACCCGCCATTGCGTGACATGATGGAGCCAGCAGGAGAGACCAGGTTTTCACGACCAATCTCGCGTGCAATCGATGACCGCCTGCTCATTGCTACGCTCGGCGAGTATACACTACCTCCGTATGCACTTGTCCGCCTGCTCGAGAAGCCTCCGCCAAAGGATCCAAATCTACCCCGTCCCCGTCCAAAGCCCTGTTGATTGGGCCGGAGTGCCCGCGGAATGAAGATGAAGGAGCGCTCAACTGTGGGGAAGATATAGCGCGGCGGGGCAGGCGGAAGTGAGATACGGACTGGCTTGTCGCGACGGAGTGGGGGTCTGTGATTGGGGAGGCGGGTATGTTGCTTGATAGGTACATTCTGGAATTGTATAGGGCCCTTCATGTTTGGCAAGAATACCCGAACCATGGCATTGTGCGTATGAACCGTCGTGGAGAAGTTACGAGCTTGCGAAGGCTTTTGGTTAGACCCCGGGGGTACTCGAGAGGCAAAGGCGGGCGCGTTGGGTGGTTGCTGCTGGGAAGCGGCTGGAGGTGGGCCAGGCTGCTCGTGAGAGCCCGGTGCATTGACAGTCTCGTGCAGATCATGCTGCCAGGGCGAGTCAGTAGCCTCCGAAGGCTGTGGCCTCATACTATGATAAATGTCAGTATAGAGCTCCAGCTCGATCCTCTGTGCCTGTACGTACTTTGCTGGAGAGAAGGGCCCCCCGATGGGAGCACCCCGCCCCCTTCCGCGACCAGCGGGCCTGAAGCCATTCTGACCGGGTGCGTGGCGCTGGTCGTGCATGAAGAATGCCCCGCGATTGGGGATGAAAGCCGGGTCAGAGTCGCGTTTCTTCTTGTATTCCTCGTGCTCCCGCCGCCGGCGCTCCGCCAGCGTCTCTGTCCGCGAGGACGCCACACCAACAGCTGGCGCGGTCTCTGGTGCTGCCGTACCAGTCTCAAAGTCAATCTCGTCGGGTTCATTTCCATCTTCGCCAATCTGGAGCCCGTTCATCATGATCTCCGTCTCTTTGACAGCGGAGAAAGCCACGTCGGAGCGAGCAATGGGCGGAGAAGGTTGCCGCTGGCTAGCATTCTGTCGAGGCTTTGCATCACGCGGGCCATTTGATTTGCGCTTTGGCTTTCCTTGGGTAAGGGAGGGGGCACTGTCAACCTCACTAAGGTCACTGTTGTCGGCATCGGCGTCCTCATCGACATCGCTGAGCACCGAGGCGTCACTCTGGGAGTCGTCGGCCAGAGTTGCCACCGACTGGCTCTCATCTTCGTCATCTGTCCGCCTGCGACGCGCAATGTTGGTGGTTCTCTTGCGGGCGGGAGCCATGATTGCGGGGGTCTGTGTAGTGGCGGAGGTCGAGGGCGCGATGGAGTCGGCGTGGGGTGGTCCTTGGTCGGCTCGTGAACGGCGAGGCGATGAGTCGGCTGCGGAAGGCGTCCGGAACAAGGGGCCGGCAGCGTGAGAAGCGCCGGGTTTGCAAATCCGGCAGGTGCAGCGATTGCGGTCGTGATGGAGCGAGATTGTGTGGTGGGCGTGAGGGCTGGGATGATTCGGTGGGTGATGTCTGACGCCAGAAAATACCCATGACGGAGCTTGCCGTGCGGGAACGACTGGTCGCGGAACCGGTTGATGCGCGCTACTCCACACCAACAACACACCGTCTCAAACAAAGGCCACCCATCAACAACCGCGCCCTGTTGTGTTTGTAGCTATTGTTGATTGTGTCGGCACGATTTAATCGCCTTGGTCGGCCCGCGCATTGTCTCTGCTTCATCGCAACTTCTGTTTGGCCACCAAACCTTGTCCGTAGCTAATTGTTTTAGGCTATGAACCCCCATACATCAATTGTGCCATCATAAGCTAGCCAAGTTACGAGGATGTGAACATGTAAACATTTTCAGCACTATCTACCTACACAGACCCAATGTAACCTGGCCTGGGGCCCATCCATATTTCCATTGAGACCTCTCCCGCCCAGTCCATGCCAGACCCTATCCAGCGCCGCTCAAATGCTACCCACTGAATGCTATGACAAACGCCTATAAATGCTTCGAGACCTGCCGGAGTGGGCAGCTCCATTGCCCGGGTATGCATGCAAATGTCCGAATCGTGACATGAAAAACAAAAAAAAACATCAAAAAGTGAAGGAAGCGCTCTTATTGTACAAGCCCACCTTTGTCTCCACAAAATCATCCGGCAACTATTGCTGAAGATGCGGTAGGCCATGGTAGTGAAACAGTATTTGCTCAAAAGGAAAAATCATTGGTTCAAGTCGTGGATGTATGTGCAGTTGTCGCCCTTGTTGCATTGGCCCTTTTGGAAGAACTTGCATGCGAGAACCTTGTGAGGCTTGTGATCTCCTCGGTTCTTGGGCCGCTTTCCTTGGTTGCGGTCGTTGATGCCATTGCTATCGTCGCGTTGCCGCTTGGTTCCAGCGTTGGGTTGTTGGTTGTACTGGGATTGTGCCTGAGTTTGATATGATGTAGCATCTTGCATTGGCTGAGACCATGCGGCAGCATCGGCTTGCTGCGTTGGGGGTGGAAATGTAAAAGGAAATGGAGGAAATCCGGTGGGTAATGGAGGGGGGGGAGGAAGTGCGCCGCCAGTCGCTGCTTGCATATTGGCAATCAAGGCAGCAATGTCAAGGCTTACACCTGGTTGTTGGGGTGGGTTTTGCATTGGGAACGACACGGGTGGGGGAGCCTGGGGAGGAGGCTGGCCGTTACTAATGGAGTTGAGGAGGGTTTGAAGACCAGCAGCGTCGAATGCAGGAGCGGCGGCAGGAGGCGGTGGCGTGTATGTGTTTTCAGCCGGAGCTGTCGGGGCAGGGGGGGCGGCTTGAGCTTGGTTGGTAGCCGACAATTGCTTGATAATGTTCTCCAGTTGACTAAAGTCTGGCGTAGTCGCTGCCACAGGTGGTTGTGGGCATTTCCTTAGGACCGTCTCGGGCGGTGGTCCAAAGTTGACGACAGGAGCAGTAGATGGAGTTTCCTGCTCTACAGGCTCTTTTGGAGTCGGTGGAATGTCGTCATTGCTAGAATAGTAGACCATTAAGGTGGCGTTCTCGCGCTGCATATTGGCCTCTTTCTCAGGACAGATAGGTTGCTGGAGGCCTCCTCCGTACGGCGCGTAGTTTCGTTGACGTTCTTCAGGGTGTACAACACTAAAGTCAACTTCGGATGGTGGTGTCCACGATCTCTGTTCGCCATCCAAATCCTCGTCATCGTCGTCGAGGTCAAGCTCTTTGTGCTGCTTGAACATGCGTCCCTCTCCGCCAAGGTCACCAGCATCCCGCACAAGGTGATGTTCTTTGTGGTCCATCTCTTCATCGTCGGCCTCGTGGTCGAAGTACTTAATCTCTACCAGTGATGTATCCGGCCGCCAGGCTACACGCAGATGTCTACGAGACTCTTTTCGTAACCGTTTGGCCTTTTCTTCCTCGGTTTCCACCGGTAAAGGTTTCTCAGATTTGATGGGCGCCGTTTCTTGTTCCTTGGGTTTTTGGAGCGACGCCATTGTCTGGGCAAACGAAAAGGCAGGCTTTGCTGCGGGCGTCGCCACAGCCTTCTTCTCTTTCGTAGCTGGGGTGCCAGTCTTAGCTGATGCAGCACCCTTTGCAGTAGCCGAAGCTGGGGTTGTCTTTTTGCTCGCTGCATTGAGCGAGGCAAAGATGCCCGAAGGCTTGTTGGTGACTTGGCTAACACGCGTCTTGACGGGTGCAGGCGCTGGTACTGTCTTCTCTCCAGGTCGTTTCTGTGTGGTTGTAGCAGAAGTAGCACCCGCTTTCGAGCCTGGTGCTGAGGCAGTCTTTGGGGCCGAAGTGACGGCATCAGATGCCTTTGACTTCTTCATCATTGCAGACTCATTTGCCGAACGGTTTGCAGCGTCAGATGCTGATCGCTTAACACCCTTACCATCTGCTGATTCAGTCTTTGGCGGAGGGCTTGCTTTTGCCTTTTTAGAATTGGCAGCAGCGCTGTCCATCACTTGCTGTATAAAAGTCTTGTGCTTTTCATTTGCGTGTTTCTTCATAGACGCAAGTGCTTTGATAAGCTTAGTCTCTTCGAGGAGCTCAGAAGTCAGTGTGCCGCATCGCGAGAGTACCTCGTAGATGACTGCGGACAATGGGCCATCGTAATCTTTACTATGGAATCGATTCGCCAAGAACTGGTAGCACAGATATAGGAATGGCTTGATCTGCCCCAACTGGTAAAGCACATCAGGATGTGCAGACTGCAGTGCAGCCTCAAGAGCAGATTTAAGAAGGTCACGTTGACTCGTAACTCGACTCTTGAGTACCGGCAGCTCACCTGTCTTCTTTTGCTCTTCAGCCTCCGTTACAGCTTTGCTGTCGGCTCGCCACCGCTTTTGAATGGTGTTGAGCACTTCCCAGACCTCACGCATACTAATTTTGATCTTTTCGGAGCTTGGCGAAGATGTGGAAGGATGCCATGTAGCCTTGACAACATCATATCGAACGGCGGCGTCAGGGTCCTCCGGCCGCGACGCAGGGATTGGCATCTCTTCCTCTTCTTCATCCGAAGAGTCCGTATCGTAGTCCGATGACTCAGAGGAACTGCCACTATCACTGACTTCTCTCTTCAACTCTGTGGGTTTCCTGGCAGAATTGAGAGCTTTTGACTGTGACTTGGAGGCGAGCTGCTTGGCGCGGAGCTTTTTGCTGTCTGCCCCTGCCTTTTTTAGATCCTTGAGGGAATTTCGAGCAACATAGACTGGAAGCGCAGCTATACACATGTCAGAGGTTGTTTCTTGCAACATCATTTTTACTGGTTCAGGCTTACTTCTATTTGTTGCCAGATGAAAGGGTTCATTTCCCAGTGTCACGAATTTATTCAACGGAGTAGAATTAGTGGCCTTTGCCAAAGCAGCTTGATCAATAACATATAGACCACCCGATTTTCTACCCTTTGGTATTTCTAACTCAGGGACAGGAACTGGTTTTGCAAATGAGGCTGGCGCAGGCCGCTGCTGAGTAAATGTCTCTGCAGTAGGCTTGGGAAGCTTCATCGTGTTAGTTTGGGTTGGGTCTTTGTGCGTATGGCGAGGTGAACTTACTTGATAAGCAGATATCGGAGGTCGACTAGTCCGAAGCGAAGCAGTGTCCTGCTGTAGAGCTTGTGGCGTCACTGTGCCAACATGGCTTTGGGGGGTTACAGTACGCATTGGCATCTGGTAAGGAGAGTGTTGTTGCTGGCGGACGGCATTGGGGTCCATACCCAGCGACGGGTCAACATTTGAGGGCTGACCATAGTTGGCCAAAGGGCCTTGCTGGTTGAACTGGCCATACTGGTACGGCGACTCTGTGCGCAAAGCATGGCTTTGGGCAGCGTACGATTGGCTGATGGCGTTGAAGGGTTGTTGTGCAAACGAGCCAGCGTGCCAGTTCTGGCCCGACGCAGGCTGGGGCAGGGGTGAGTGCTGGTGTAGCTGGGCCTCCCACGATGGGGTGCCATAGCGGTCGACAGAAGAAAAGAGGTGCTGGTAGGATGGATCGGCGTAGACATTCTGGCCTTGCAACGGCACCTGGTCAGTGGGCACGTGATTTGACGCCATGATGTGTGGCGTAGGTGTGTGGAGGGGAGGGATGTCTTGGCTAGCCAGAGTGTCAGCTGTCAATTACAGGGTTGTGATTGGCTGATGACGCACAAGTGTCTGGGACAGGCCAAAGGGGATTAATTAGGCGACGATGCAGAAAGCACTAGGCGCTAAGCAGACTGGCGCAGAGTCACGAGCGTAGCAGGATGCCGGTTCGGGAGAATGTGAAGCGGAGAAAAAAGGTCGATAAAACACCGGTTTAGGCGGTAGCGTCTGGTTGCTGTCTCTGTCGGCCTGCAGCGCTTCCAGGTTGCTGTCTCTGGGGGGTTGGTGGGCAGATGGAGTAGTGTAGATGCACACCACCCAAGGTGCAGTGCAGCCGGCCCTCACTCACAACGCAGAGCAGAGCTCGTGTGCCGACTGACGCCTGCGAAGCCGAGTCGGCCAGTCCACGAAAGCGTAGAATTGGTTTTTATGAGCTGGCACTTTGCCTCGCGTATTATGCGATGGGGAGCAGGAGCACACTTGCTGATGCGTCACTTGACGTTTTGCATGCGCGCGCGCAACCAGAGCACAACACACGCGGCGGATGAGGCCTGCTTGACGCGCCCCCGTCCGGTTGGCACCGAGCAACTGTGGGCCGCCTCGCGCAGAAGCTCGGCCAGATTCTCTCTGTGATGCGAAGCCTGTCGAGTCCAAAGACGGAGCTGGATTAGTAGCAGAAGTTGAAGATGACGGTCACTCTGCCTGCCCTCCGCAACCCAAGTCTGTTCCCGAAAAACACCGCTGCCAGCCTGAGCACACTTTCCCCAAAAGCAAGGACTCGAAAGTAGAATCTAGCTTCAGAATCAGATGCCCTTATTAGGTGGGCGAGAGTTCACTGAGAAGTAGCATGAGTGTCAAGAGCGAAGAAGGGGGGTGGGTTGATGTGGGCGAGGTGAGTTGAAGAGCGAGGGAGCGCGGCGAAGGGGCGAGCTCGTTTTGAGAGCCCGCCCTCTCGCCAAGTAGCGCGCCGCGCTAGTCCCAGGCGGGGCAGGCAACCTGGGCCACCATCACCAAACACCCATCCACCCGCGACCAGCAAGCAGCGCGCAGCGGGCAGTGGGCAACGCACACGCGCCACCGTGGTCTCTTGTGTACTTTGGCCGAGCCCGCTCTCCATCACCCTCAGCACATACACACACGCCCCTTGCGCATGCAAAGGACCTGACACTCGGCGGGTGCCACGACACATTAGAACACAATGGCCGTCTCACTGCGGGACCGCCAGATAGGCACGCCTTTGCCCGCTCACCTGCACCATTGCCAGCGCCACTGACAGAACCATCCTAGCCTCAATTAAACGCCTGCTCAACCTCAACCCCCCGGCCGACGGCGATGCCGCCCAGGACGAGTCCAACGAGCCCACGAATCCCGACATCGCATGGCGTAAGTCGCAACGTCATAGCGTTGGCCTGCCACTCTGAAGAGACAAATGCTGAGACTGCTGTCTGAATAGGTGTTCTGGTCTACGACGATGCTGCCAAAGCCGTCGTCAGCTCTGTCCTGCGCGTCAATGACCTGAGGGCGGCGGGAGTATGAACTGACTCTCCCCAACACTATACTGGCCTGCTGACCATCGTACAGGTCACTGTGCACTTGAATCTCAAGTCGCGCCGGAGCCCCATCCCAGCGCCTGGAATCGTGAGCAATCCTGTCCCCACCAAACGTGTTGCGCATCCATTGCACATGCGCTAGTATTTGGTGATAAGCCAACCCCACAAAGCATAGACTGACCACCCCCACCAGTATCTCATGGCACCCACAGCTGAGAACCTAGCCCTCGTCACCAAGGATCTGAACGACGCCCTGTACACCCCCGCATATATCAACTTTCTTTCCAGTGTGCCCCGCCAACTGCTAGAATCATGGGGCGCCGAATTAGCGACCATGCCGGAAGCTGCTGGCAATCTGGCGCAGATTTACGATCAGTACGAGACGCTCGAGAATTAGGTCCAACAATTGCTAACCTGGCCCAAGGTATCTCAACTTTGTTACATTGGGACACGATCAATTCAGGTACGTTTGTGTTTCCTACAGTATGCGCCACTCCCACTCACTCGGTCGCAGTCTCAACATTGATCAGTCTTACTATCGTCTGAACTCGTCTAAAACCGAAGATGCAGAACTCGACGAGCACATGGATCGCATCGTTTCGGGGCTCTTCTCCGTCGTCGCTACCATGGCCGTCGTCCCAATCATAAGAGCTCCTAGTGGCGGTGCTGCCGAACTCATTGCTGCCAAACTCGACCGAAAGCTACGCGATCATGTACTCAATAACAAAGAAAGCCTCTTTGCATCATCTTCAACAGCCTCCCGTCCATTACTCGTCATCGTAGACAGGAACGCCGATCTCAATCCAATGTTCAGTCACAGTTGGATATATCGTATGCCAGACACCTTCCCCAGGCCAAGGATGTAGCTGACCAGAGCATGTAGAGAGTCTCGTGTACGACGTCTGCAATTTCCACCTGAACAAGATCGAAGTGACTGTTCCAAAGGACAAGAATAAGCCAGAGAGCGGTACCAAAAAGCAGTCGTACGACTTGGCAGCAACCGATTACGCAAGTACTCATCCACAAGTCACACTTGACCAAGTATCTAACTGCCCCTTGCATGTAGTTCTGGAACCGCAACGCTTCGCAACCTTTCCCAAATGTCGCAGAAGAAGTGACAAACGAATGGACAAAGTACTCGGAAGATGCGGACGCGCTTACCAAAAAGACGGGATCATCGTCACTGGACGACCTCTCAGGAGAAAGTAATCATTTCGCAGCACATCTCAAAGGCGCGATTTCTCAACTGCCAGAACTGCGAGAAAGGAAGGCTACTATTGAAGCTCACATGTCTATCCTCGAAGCTGTGATGGAGGGCATCAAGGAACGCAAACTCGATGAGTTCTTCCAGCTGGAAGAAGAGATTGAAAAGCAGACCAAATCGTCCGTTATGGAGGTACTTAAAGACCCAGCCAAGGGAAATGATCCCATGGACAAGTTCAGGTTCTTCCTACAGGTATGATGGGCGCTTTAAAGGAAATTGCATGATTGCGCTAACATGGTCAATATCTAGTGGTACTTGAAGACGGAACAAGAGGTGTCGCGCACCGAGCTAGAAGGCTTTGAGAACGCTCTCAAAGCCGCCGGCGTAGACACAGCAGCCCTTGCATACATCAAAACAGTGCGCCAAATTACACAAATGAGCATGCTCTCAACTGCCGCTCCTACACAGCCCGCTCAAGCATCTTCACAGCTATTCGGCGGCTTCACCAGTCTTTCATCAAGGGTAACGGACCGGTTCAAGGAAGCCGGTTTGGGCGCCAACTTTGAAGGCGTGCTTTCGGGCATCAAATCATACCTGCCTGCCAACCAAGACCTTACAATCACCAAAATTACAGAATCACTAATGGATCCTCAAAATGCTACAACCAGCGCGCTCAACAAGACAGAGAACTACCTCTACTTTGATCCCCGATCTGCCAATGCACGAGGTACCCTACCTCCTGCAAGCCAGTCGCGGAACCAGCAGAGTACTGTCGGACGCGGAATTGATGCGACATTTGGACAAAGGCGACAAGGCTTCTCAGAAGCCATTGTCTTTCCTGTCGGTGGTGGCAGCATGGACGAGGAGACTAACATCCAGGCGTGGGCCAAGCGCACAAGCGCCGCAGCTGGCACTGGTCCTAAACGAAGAGTTGTCTACGGTAGCACGAAGTTGTATTCCCCTCGTGAGTTCATCGAGGAGGAACTAATCCCCCTGGGCAAGGAGAGTACGTAAACTTTGGATTCATTTTCTGACAAAGTATCGGGACCTTGGAGGAAGGGACAAAAAAAAGGGCATGATAGACATCTAGTTCTTTTGTTGGCACATAGCATATATGTGTGAAATATTGATGCAAAGCCATGATATTGTAACATCCTCCCTGAGCTTTCCATGTGTGACCTGGTGCTGCTATGCTTGTTCTTTTTTTTGCTTTTTTTTGCTTGGTTTGACGTTACCGTACACTGCATCTACATGCATGCATGCATGCGGGTTGGACACGAAAATCCCTTCCCCTCCCTCTCTCTCTCTTCCTTACCCCTGTCCCTTCTGCATCACCACCACGTGCCTTCATCGATACGTTACACGTAAATATTTGGATAGATGTGTGCATGGCTCGGAGGGTAAAGGAAGTAAGCGGGACTAGGTAAAAGGGGACGATGAAACGAAAAGCACCCCCCCCCCCCCCCCCCCCCCCGCCTACGTGTGCGCGGGAGAGGCCGGAGGGCTGCTACTATATCGAGTAAAGGGCGTAAAAGTATGAGGCTGGCTGACGAGATGCATGGCATGGCGTCAGTTCGTATATGCACGATGGGTGAGAATGCACCATGTCAAACAATTTTGCTTTTTTTTCTCTTCTCTTCTCTTCTTGATGTTGGTGGTGGTGGTTGGTAATAGCGGTGTTTGAGGGCTGCATGTTGCGGATAGAGTAGATTGTGGGGCTAAGTGTGAGTGTTTCAGATAACTTGACCCTTTTCTATCGCATGTGGAGTTGTATATTGCTTTTTTTCAATTTTCTGGCCGGAGTTTTGAGGGCTAGGGTGGGGCGTGTTAGATTCGGATTTCGGATGAGAGGGTTTTTTTGCTTTTTGCTTCGATGGAAGTTCTATGGCTGGGGGGGTTGCGTAATGCATGGAAGGATTGTAGATGGAGGATGCGAGTTTGACTTGACTCATGTGGGCGTGTGGATGAGGATGGGGGTAGTGAGTATTGGAAGGATTGATGTGAGATGCAGGGGGGGGGGGGAGTGGATAAGGGTGCAGGTGCCTTCTAGAAGATATGGATCCTTCTCTTGTTTTTCCTTTTTTGTGGGAATGTGAGCATGCTGTGAAACGGGTGGGGAGGTTATTGTAGTCGTACGCTACTCGTTACTCGTGTTCGTGGCTGTATGACGAATGTATGCATGTGGAGACTTGGCCTCAACAAAAGAAAGAAGAGGATGAGCACTGAGGGGCACTGGGGGCAGTCGATGCGAGGTCCATGGCTTCGAGGAAAAGAAAGCCAAGAAAGGGTCCAATACTATGATGTAGGTGTGTGTGGTCGAATCAGGCTGCGTAGCGAGGTTGGCGTACCGAGGCTGTGCCTGATGATGCATTCGTTCCTGGTTCTTACTTTTTGTTGTTGTCGTTGGCGTTGAGACGGTGGAAGGATTAGAAAAGAAAGAATGGGATGTGTGGTACAGATAAAGGACGTGTTTGGAGCACGCAATGCCGAAAAATTTCGGGCTGAGGCTTGAGAATTACAATTTTTACGGCCGCTTTGTCAATGGCGTTTCTGTGGTTGCGATTTGTGTCTGCTTCGTGACGTGGGTGGGCCTGAGTGTTTTGGGCCGAGGTACGTATGATGGTGTTGCGTCACGAGGAGGGGAGGCAAGACAAGATGATTTGCGGGATAGCAAGAGCTGGGCCATTTTACAGAAATCAACGGAGATGAAATCAGGTATGAAATGTTCAAGTTCGATACTGTAACATGAGAGGTAATAATATACAAATTGTTCTACCAAGTCTATAAGTTCCCGTCTATAAGTACAAAGTCATCAATCTATAGTATTCATTAATAGGTATCATTAAGGTTTCGTGAAAGCTGAAGAGCGCCAAATCAAGAGAAGAAAAATTTTGGAAATCAAAAAAAGGAATGAGCTCAACGACGCGAGGGGCCATAGACACGATGGTTCCTGACGTCCATTTCCCCACTAGTAGCCAATCTAGCGTTGAAATTCACATCTCCAAAGATGGCACCTTTAGATTGCAAAGTCCAGCTCACGGTAGGCTTCGGGCTTCCAGTGTAAGGATTCATGCTGGTCAAAATCCAACCGCGCGCCAGGGCACTGTATTCAGATCCTTGTACGGCCTTGGGTACGGCAATAAGCAGTGTCTTGGAGTGCTCAAAAGGGGCAAAGATGATGGCCTTGCTCCCTTGTGTGGGTGGACCGGCGTAATCATAGGTAGCCGAGGAGGAGGGTGCGGATATGATGAGGGGACCATGTGTGCGTTCCGAGGCGCCTGAAGGCCATGGGATCCCAGATGCAATCAAGGTAGAGAGAAAATGCACAAGTGCCGTCATTGCAGCCTGGCCCTCGGCAAGTAAAATATAGTTTTGCAAGATGAGGTGTGGGTTCAGTAGCATCTCAATGGTGTAGGGTTCCATGCGGGGCGCGTTGGAATCTTGGAGGCTGGAGATGACATCTACCACCCACTGTGGCCCGCACTGGAAAACACAGGCTAGTGTCTGAATGAAAATATTGCGCAAGGCTGGCGTGCGCGGGTGATTCGGTGCCTGAGAGAAGCCCCACAGTCCAGATCCTGGTATTTGATATTGAACACAGAGATCGATGAGCATGCGTGCTCTGGCAACGTGAGATGGAAAAGAAGCACTCGGCTGGGTGCGATGTGGGAGATCTAAGAAGATAAGATCCAGCTGTGCGTATTCTGCTCTGCCGTCGGTCGCTTGGACCAACTGGTTCGCTTGTCTTGGGAAGTGTGGAGGTACTTGAGAGGAGCTCACATCCAAAGATGTTGGTCGACACAGCCATGAGGTGGATCCGTCATGGAGCTGTAGTGGCGTGCCAATGGTGCACAGTGCAACAGGGTCTCGTGCCGCGATCCCAACTAGAAGCAGCGAGCGAAGACATTCGTCCTCAAGATTGGGTCTCGAAAATGGATTTGAGGGAGCCAGGGCGAGAGGCAAACCAGAAGCGTTCAGCGCAATGCTGGTCTTGTCTCGGTTAGCGTCCAATCTTCGTTGGTACTCTGGCAAACGCGGGTTTCCTCCGGCCTTCATGCGAAATATGTCGGCAGCCATTGATATGGAACATGTTTCCCGCGAAGTTGGGCAGTGTTGGCTGTCTGGTGTTCGAAGTACAGAGAGGTCTCCTTTAATGAATGCGTCTTGCTGTTGGAAGAAGTCGAACAATGAACGAAGCTTTGCGGATAGGGTCGGTGTGAAGTGGATGACTTCGCTTGCAAGACTTAAAAGATGAGTAAAGAAGGATCCGGTAAAGCGTACGATTGTCTGCACTTCATCTTCGTAATGCCGTAAGCAAGGCACTAGAAAAACATGGCTTTGTCCCATTCGCATCTCATGAGCACACCATGCGCGGTCAAACCACTCAGAAGATAGAATGCGTTGTACCAATGTGTTGAACATCTCATACTGCTGCATGAAAGGTGGGTGGAGTCCAGAGTTTGGTTGTTGGTCCAGGGGCACTTGAGAGTAATTGTACTGCTCAACGTAATAACGCAGAAACCGTTCTTCGTCTGGCGAAACAACAATGTCGTCCAGTACTACAACGACTGCTCGTGCATTCTTGTAGACGTTATCAATAACTCCGATAGCTGCGTTCCTCTCGACTTCATTGTCCTGTTCGATGCACACCTCGTCATACCACAGCCCTTCACCCACGCCCCTCTCTCTTACAACTGCTTGGAAAAGTGCAGAAGTAGTTGGTAGTGGGAATTGCTCAATCTCCTTCAGCCATCCGAATGGAAGATCTCCAACGGGTGTCAGAACCTTTCTTGGTGTGGTACTTGCAGCAGGCTTTCTACAATAGCTGAGAGCGATGTATCCTCCCTCCTCCCCGTGAAAGCCGACGTCGTTTATCAGCCGAAAGGCAAAATTGCTCTCGCAATGTTCCTTTGGGATGAATTCCTTGACTACCGAGGGTGCTAGGCGGCTGAGGTCTGACAAGAGTGTGGCAGCATCGATGTCGTCTTCGCATGGTATTGTTGACCATTTGTGTCGGTTGAGAAGGGCATCTCGTGTAGAGGGCTTGATGAGTCTGGCGTGGAGACTTGATGTATCCAGGCCTGATTCATCAATATCAATGAATTCGCACTGTCCGAAGCGGGCGAACCACTGAGGTGATGTTTGTAGAGCCATGTGGATATACATTTCCTGGTGGTTGTGTTGGAAAAGTAGTAGTGATGTCTGATGCCCAAGTTGTGCTTCATGGCAAGGCAAGGGACCTATTTGACATTGAGCCGCTCATCCCAACCCTCTGACCCTTGTGTCCTCGGGACACGCAAAGCCTTCCGATGCACAGCCGTATCCTCACTCTTGGGCCCATCTGGGAGCACGCGACAAGTGGACGCCATGCATAATCGTTGTCTATCAGCCCACCAACGCCACAGGCGCACCGACTACCGCATTGAGTATTTGCGGGGAAACACGAGGACTTGGCATATCTGATGACAAGAGATTAGGTTGTATGAGGCGTAGTGCAATGTGGTGAAGGTTAGTAGGGTTTGAACGATCCAAATAGTCGGGTTGTCCTGTCTGATGGCACGGGCCTTTGCCATAACGGCAACCCATGAGCATGACGTCGGCAAAAGCATCGGAAAAAGTGGCCATCATGAGAGAAAAAAGGAAATACACGATATGAAACATGAAGCTTCATGGGCCTGTCTCGTCTAACGGTTGGTTGCAGTGTGATTGCCTGGCGCTAGAAGTTCTAGAAGGAAAAAAGCAAAATAGCATGCGCAGTACTGCAATTTTACACGGCATGGCAATATCCGAATGCGTTGAGCTGCATGCAGAGGCATCGTGACAGATGTCGTGGACTCTACAGAGTCAGAAAAAAAACCCCTCCAAGTCACGACTAGAGGGCGTGTTGCAATTGATCGTCACGGTCATGGTTGCGGTTAAGTTCAAAGCATTTCATGCATCGTTGGGACGCGTATTCCGATAGATTGACCGATAAGCCACTAAACCCAAAGAGTGTAGAGAGACCGATAGTTGGAAGGATATTGCCAGACTCAGCGATTACCAACCGGGAGCAGGCGATGTCCTCAATGGCCAAACAGCACGCGTTTCGCAACACCAAAACTCAAATCCTCAGGCTTACAACCTCAGGCCGCCGCCAAAAACTCCAACCGAAACGCATCAATGACAAATCTTTCGACAAACAATTAATCAATCTTTGCATTCGCAAGTCGGTCATTGGAGCCTTGGATAACATTGGACATCCGTACGTTTTGCCGCTTGTATTTGCTATGTTTCCGGAGCCGTTTCCGTGCGACCATGACCGGCACTGAGGACTTGGTGACTAAGTAATTACTGAAAGACCCGAGCAGGACACTGTCGGAGTTAGCATCCATGAATCAGGACTGGGACTCAACTTACCCTTTGAGAGCGTTCCGCCCTCGAGAACCAAGAATCACAAGAGTTGGCTCCAAGAAATCAATCTATCAATGAGCTGTTAGCCAAGTGCAACACTTCATATAATCCGGAGTTACTCACCACTTCAGTAATCATGTGCTTAGGGCTCTTGCAGTGGAATACCTCGACAACAGCACGCACTTGAAGACGAGTCTTTCGCAGCAATTTGACACACCGGTCGGAAACTTCCACACATGCCTGATATCTATCTTTCTCGGCCTTGCCCATGGCAGCTACATTGGCTTCAGTGGCCATGATTGAGTTTGACAGTGCTGAGAAACCGGGCCTTGTTTGTGTCAGACCGTCGTGGTTGGACAGAGTCCTCTTGAGATAGTCTGATTCCTGTCGTCCAGTGGTACCTTGGCTGATAGGTGCTCCAGAAGCATCAGTCGTTGCGACGCCAGTCTCCTCGTCAACAGCGTAGACAGCAAGGAGGGTATCACCGTCTCGTAAAACCGTCCCGATTGTCCACTCCAAAGCGTATGCAGCCTCATCGCTGAGATCGGTCGATACAAGGTATACACGCTGTCTCCTCAACCCTTTGGTAGCGTCTTCTGCAAACTGAACGTAGTTGCCCCTAATAATCTGTCGAACACAACGATGAGCTTCTGGGCTTGACTGAATAGGCGAGATATTCAGTGAAAGTTGCTGGGCTGATTTGATTTCAGCGAGCTCATCCTCGTGATCGGAGTGAACTGGCGTAGAAAAGCCAGAGCCTCCCTGATCGAAACTAGTATGGGGGTGTACGACGCCTGAGGAATTTCTTCTAGACATTCTCTCGCCATTTGGACCAGTGACGTTTATGGAAGGCTCGAGCAATGACCGCACTTTGTAGGAGACAGCAACATCCCTTCCTGTGCAGGGTTTAGTATCAAAATGCAACAGTTTGGCTGCACGTGTTACTTACGTTCCTGCTCTGCTGCGGCCAACAAGCTCTTAGCTGTGATGATTTCTCTGCCCATGCTGTCTGTGCCTCCAGAAGCTTTCCTAGATCGCTGCCTGCCGCGTTCCCGTTTGTTGGCTCCGTTCCACCCGTCCTCCCACTCTGAACTATCAGAGCCATTTTCGCTGCTCTCTACAGCAGCGCTGTCTTCGCCGTCGTCATCTGTGGCTAGACGGACACCTCCACCTGGGGCAGTCGATGTGCCTTTGATAGGATCTGAGCCTTTGCGGTTGGGGAGTGAAGAAAGCCCACCCTCCGAGCGCGCCAAAGCAGAGTCGGAAAGTTTTCGGTAGGCCGTATCCATGTCGATGCGCTTGCCTGAATCGGTCACAAGGCTGTTGTTCCAAGTCGTTGCTGGAGAAGCAGATCTACGAGGGCCTGGAGATCCAGATTTTGACCGACCCAGCGGGCCATTCAGCGAGTTGTGTCGGTCCCTTGAGTTTGAGCCTAGAAAGCCAGCCGAACTGCCGTAGACAGTTGACATGGCGCGAGGTTTTGCAGAAGCATCGAGCTTGCCACCTTGCGACACTCTCTTGGGCATAGCATGCGCGTCGATTGAAGGCAACATTTCAAACTTGTATGCCGACTCGGGGTTCACTCTGCGAGGCGACGAGGGCATGGCAAAGGGAATGCCAGTACTCCCACGGCTCGAGCTCCTGCGCGGTCCCGCATCAACGTCTAACATGCTGCGAACCGGCGAAGCAACTGGATTGGGGCTTTGCGCTCGTGCTGTCGGGCTTTCTGCGCGTCGTCCTCCGGGCTTCTGGTTGCCCTCGAGGAGTTTTACAACCTCTCTCATCTCCTCATCGATGGCAGCTTCGAGCGAGGCCATGGTGGCGGTGGGTGCAGGGTGGGTGCGTGGTGAGGCGGTAGTAGGTTCAGGGTCGTGTGCCGGGGTCGGCGTGATGCGTGGCAATGTGGTAATTATCGCAAAAAGATGGTAGTCGTGTTCGCGGGGTAGCTGGGGTGATTGGAGGCGTCAATTGGAGTTGTACTATGGCATCATAGGCACAGCTAGCTGCTATCTGGTGTGCGAGCTACAGATGCCAGCCACCCCGTACCAAATGCTGGCCGGTCGGGTCAGGGTGTGTGTGGGGTGAGCGCGTGATGGTACTAATGCCAGCAGTGGGGTAGATGATTCCAAAGACTGTAGCTGAAAGCAATGGCGGGCCGATCCGTCGTACTGTATGTAGCTAACCGCTGTCGGAGAACAAGTTGTTCCCTAGCAGATTGATGGATGCCGACGACATATGGAAGAGGAACAGCAAGCTTGAGACAAGAGGGCTCCTGGGGGGGCGGCGACAGTCAGCGCGAGTCGACGGTCGCGGATGCTCTTGGTCTAGGCGGTGGGAAGTGGGCATCGGACCATCCATCCCTCCAGCATCTGGCGGTTTGACAAGCCTTGGCACGCGAAGATCACCACCGCCCTCTGCCCATGCCCGCTGGCGCAGGGACTGAGATGCGGCATGCAACAGAACAGGAAGCATCTCCGACTGTCTACCAAGTATGTACACAGGCACGGCGTCGCTTCGCCAGCTGTCGCGTGGGCATCTCAGTCGCGGCTCTACATATCTTGCCTCCAAGCATCACATGTGAAAAGAGGCCGTGGCAGAATACGGGGCCGCGTGGAGCAAGTGTGCATGTGGCTGTGCTGACCCATGACGCCCTATGCAGAGATATGTACTCGCCCAGTCTCTAGCCGGTGCACGCGTAGAAATAATGTACATTGGTGCGTTACTAACGGCATATTGTGCCTTGCTAACTAATACTTTTACCTCTTCCTGGGAAGCACGATGTTTGCTCGCGCCGCAACGCCCAGCTTGTGAATGGCGTTGCGCCTGTCCCAGATACCGCTGGTGCCTTGTACCACTGCAATAAGCTCCTGCGCAATTCGCTGGGCAAAGCTGTTCTTGCCACTGCCCATGTTCCTCCTCTTTGAGGCAGCCGCCATGATCCACTGGATGGCTGCGCGCCGCCGTTGCCTCTGGCCCAGAGGCACAGGAATCTGAAGAGCGACACCTCCTCCAGCTGCACCTCTCTGACTTCGAATGCGCATCAGGGGCGCGACCGAGTCAATGGCCAGTGTAAGATAGAGGACGGGGTTCAGAGGGAGGTGTGATGGCGGGGGCGCACCAGGAAGCAGTGGCCTGGAGGGGTTGATTGTGGGGATGGGTGACGTTCGGAGGTGTTGGAGGATCAATGCCATGTTCTGTTGCTCTTGTTGTTAGATGTGCGTACGCTAGATTGTAGTACGGAAATGACGTACCCGCTCTGCAACGCTCTTCTTGCCGTGGCGCATAAGCAGATTGGTAACCTGGTCGACTACTGGATCATGGCGATGCTTGACATGGCCGTCTTTTGGTAGTGGCAGAGTAGGCATGTCAAACTTGAGACCTGGCATGGCGGGTGCTTTTGAGGCATTCTGGGCATTAATCAGGCCCATATCCAATCCACTGTTGCCGTTGGTCTGAATTGTCATGGTTGAGTATGATCGTGAGCCCGTTGGCGCTGCATTTGGTGTCGTCTTGGGGTTTTGAGAATTGAGCTTGTCTTGCATAACCTTGGGCAGGTTTTCTTGTGTGGCCTTGTCACCTTTGACTACCTAGTTGGCTGTCAGCATATCTGCAGCAGCGTGTGGTGGTTGTGACCTCACATCCTCAATTGGAGTGCCCTGGCTGAGATCAGGTCCCTGCTCGCCCATGGTCTTGGCCATGGCAGCCGCCTCTTCGGAGACATGCTCAATGGGCTTTGCATCTTCTCGCTTGGAGCGGTCCGCGGCTGGTGGTTTGGCTGAATCGGAATACAGGCGCCATTGCGATGACGGCAGTCGAAGTGCTGATCGAGCAGGGCATTGCACCTGGGGCCTTTGTCGAAAGGCAATTGGTCGCGTGAAGGCAGCGATGTTTAATCTCGGGGGCATGGTGGCGTGTTGTGTGGTGGGCGACGATGTTGCAAAGTGACGATGCTGAATATTCCAGCCCCGGCCAATGTCGCGCCGGGCGGCCCGTGCGCCATACGTCAAGTAAAAAGAGCGGCTTGCAGTCTGTGACCACTCTACCAGCTTCAACATCAGCCTGCAAACGGTCGCATAGCACATGCTTTTGTTGCAAGGCTTCAGCTAACGCATCTGACTCACAACAGCTTTCTTATATTTGGCAGCGCGACTGTTGCTACTGCAGCAGCACCTTGGATGGGAGGTGTGAAAGGACGACCGGCCACAACTGAGCTTCCCTGCTTTTGCTATTTCTTTCTTCGCAGGTCAACAGTCTTCTAGTCTATCGCATCATGTCTCAACGTATTTCATCATCAGTCTTTTTTCATACAGCCATCGATTTTGTTTCCTTCAGTCCTTCCTTGCCAGACATTCATACATGGTACCCTCACCCCGGAGCCCATGTTGCCAGCGAAGGTTTTGGCGCCGCCTTTACCGCGATAAAAATATCCAGCACTCTCTTTATCGCGCATTGTAAAGTGGGCTTTGGAAGCGCATTGAGCAATGCTCAACGTATGAGGAGAGCACATGATTATTGCTTTTTGCTGGGGCAGCTCCGACGGCGCTAGCGTTGTCTATCGCACGCCACCAAAATTCGCTCTATCGCACTGCCACGGACATGGCCATGGACGATGGCGATGGCGATGGCCTCATTCTTTTTTTTGGGCAGTGCGTGTCTTGCGCTGTCTCTACACGATGACGGAGATGCGGGGTGGGACTTTGCATGCACACACATACACATGTATGCATGGTACACGGGCAGGCGTCAAGCGCTGTGAGTCTGGGCAGTGCCCGTGCCCCGCCCGCCCGCCGTGTTCGCAGTGCAGCAGCATTGGGATAGCATCATAGCATCCCCCCGCGCGCTGGGCGTGTCGCCTGTGGCTGGAGCCAATCGGAGGGGCAGCGCAACCCCGCATGGCATAGCACGACAGTCGGAGGGCCAGAGGGCAAGGTAAGACTGCATGCAATATGGCGAGTGTCTCTAAGCTCCTGTCACGGCCGCCGCAGGCATCGCAGGCGTGCAAGGCGGGCGCAGCATGGCGAGCGGCAATCCGCCAGCAGCCGTCAGTCTTCCCCGCACTAGGCCGGAGAGACGACAGCCAACCATGTGACCATCCAGCCCAGCCACTCTTGTTTCACCCCGCTGCAGCGGTAGGCAGTGGGCAGCAGGCAGCACACGCTGGCCGCCGTTGATCTTGCACGCCCGGGCTAATTAGCTTATCGCATGCCAGAGAGAGCGGTGACGGGCCCGCTCCAGGCTGTACTCTCGTTGCGTGCACCATGGGCGCATTCCCGCCCGCCCTCCTCTCTTCTCTCCCAAGTCAAGCTCACCTGCCCCAAGCGCTAGGCACCCTCGACTTTGCTGCAAGGTGCTCGCCCCGATTGTCGCGTCACAAGGGTGCTCCCCGTGTGCCTGCAGACCCGCAGACCCTCGACCTAGTGGGCCCAGCGTAGTACTTACAGTAATCCCGATTGCGCACCAGCCTCCTCCCCTCCACACCCTCCGTTATCGATACAGCAACCGCAGCCCACCACGGCGCACCCCAGCATGATTGACACAATGGATCGCGGGAGTCTGTATGAACACGACATCCCCTCTCTCAGCGCCTCGCTCGAGGCTTTTGACCCCGAGCGCAGCATGCACTCGGCCTACAGCAGCCGCTCCAACATGCACTCGTCGCGATGGAGCGTACCCCAGGACGACCCAGACTCCGAGACCGAGTCGGACGGGCCCTGGGCCCCTCCGGCCTGGCAGAAATCACAGTCCAGCAACCACTGGTACCGCAAGTCGCTGCTGGGCGAAAGCGCAATGCGCAACAGCCCCTCCAGGTCGCCATTCGAGTACCGCACTGATCGCGAAGTCACTCCCTCGCGCATACCATTGCCCGAGTCGCCATACAAGCAGACGCCGCGCACAAGTCCAGAGCCCATACCAGAGGAAGAACAGAGGTTCCTGTCCACCAGCATCGCCTCGCGCCTCCAGAGTCCCGTCGTCGTTGCCGACGACCACCCCACCCCACCTACTCCAAGCCCATGCGCGCTCCCAGGAAAGGAGCTGGAGCTGTCGCATCATGACCAGGACGGTCCAGCAGAGGGTTGTAAGTCGTCCCCACCACTGCGCGCTGTAAAAACTGACAGCCCTAGTCATGCGCTTTGCTTACAGAGGAGAAGCCAAGTTTCGCACCGCACCCATTGAAGACACCATTTCTACTTTTGCCAGTGGCCTTCACATCTTCACCAAGTCAAGAGCAAACGTCATTCTTACCGTTGCAACGGTCCTGCTGTCATGGATCCTTCTGCAGCCCTGGACAGCCAGCCTAATTCCAGACGTCGCAAACGTCGCCAACATGGCCAAGCAGTTTGAGCCGCTTCTCTACGCGTCTGAAAATGTAATACCGCGGTCGCGCGAGCTCGCAGAGGCAAGTATCGCTGTCCAAGATTTAGGAGAGAGCGTTCGAGCGACAAACATGTCGGCGTCCTCGGTCATCATTGACCAGCTCGACGACTTGGGCGACAGCCTCAAGATCTTGTCTGAGAAGATTACGAGCTTCTTCACAAATGTGGACGGTGATATGGACTCGTAGGTATACATCGCTCGACGCTCACACACCCACTAATGATTGTAGCATCCTTATCACCATGGAGTGGGCCAAGCGCGAATTGCAGAGCATACAAGGCCCCAAGATTGGTGTGATTGATACAATCATCGGAAACGTGCATGGCGGCCTGAGCAAGATTGGCCTGCTTGAGCGCAATGGGTCGCCTACAGCGATAGGGCGTGTGGTAAATGATGTCCTCGGCCACACTACCCAGCAGCGCTCCAAAGCCACGCTGCAACGCACATTTGACTATCTCCTCTCCACGCTAGAAGAGAATATTGCAAACGAGCTTGCGCGTGCAGACGTGCTATTCCAGCTCTTCGAAAGTGTGGACCGGCAATTCCACAACCTCCATCGCTCTGTTGCGAAGGAAGAGGACTCGCTCGCAAACAGGAAAGACGAGTTCCTCGCGTCCATGTGGCGCATGACCATCAATAACAAGATGAAGATTAAAAAGTACGAGAGGAATCTCAAGCTCCTCAAGGATGTCCGCGCATCCACTTTGATCAACAAATCTGAGCTCAAGGGCCACATCCAAATCATTCACTCCGTCAAAGACCAATTGGACAAGGCGCGCAAAAACCTCATCAGCCCCCTCATCCGTCGGGCACAGAGCAACAGCTTCGGCCTGGAGCAACAGCTCAACGACCTCACAGGAACCTATGGATTTCTCAAAAACCTCCGAGACGGCCAGAAGAAGAAAGTCCTCCAGCAATTATGGGGCGAGCCCAAAAAGCGCATCGCCATTACAGCTGGTGGCAAAGAGGAAGAGATTGATGAGAGCGACCACTAAACCTGCCCGTCTCTCACCTTGAATCATTAGCTCTTCGTCTCCCGTTTTCCAACTATAGACTCTGGTTTCTGGCGCATTGAGGGGCATATCCTTGTCTCGTTTCATCTGTCCTTTCTAGCATTGCAAGCGACTTGGTATAGACAAACGAGACCACGGGATTCTTCTTGCGTGCTTTTATCCATTGGCGGAGTTTGCAGGCGTCACACACACACATACACACACTATTGTAAATGTGGCTTCCCTCTTTGTGCATTACAGCGAGATTCTGGTTCTTGTTGTTGTTGCTATTATAGCAGGCGAAACAAAGGAGTGGAGGCGTACATGGCATGGATTGAATTGAATTGAATTGAATTGAGTTCGGTTGAGTTCGGTTGGACTGGACTGGACTGGGATGGGATTGAATCATGAGTTTAGCGTTTTCCTTGCATGTAACGTACATTTGCTACAAAAGCTTTTTGTACGTGTCTTCGATGTAAACAGCAATCCAAGTGATTGTACTTTATAGGGTTCTAGTTGTTTGTTTAGTAATTCCAAACGCATCGTTGAGAGCGAAACTATTTTTTTTTTGGAATCATGTAGTATCAAAGCAATAACAAGGAATATTGTTATGTATAATTCTTTTTATGGTATGAAAAAGATAAGAGAAAGCCGCTAAATTAACCCTGCCCTCAACAGCTTGTTCCCAAATTCCAGCAAATAGTAATCCGCGTACACAAGCCCGTGATCCTTGTACTTTTGGTGCGCATGCTCATTCCAATTCGTCGTACTGTGTCGCAGTATCCCATCAAACGACGATTCCTTGATCACCACATTGTCCCCACCACTCGCACCCCCATTCACCTTTCCCTCGCCGCGCAGCTCAAACAACGCCAAATCCGCATCATACGCATACTCAATCGTCTGCGCCACAATCTGCAGCGCAGTCTCCAGAAAATCGACTCCACCCGCCATGTCGGCCGCAGTCTGAGCATCCAACCCCTGCAGTGCTTGATGTATAATCAGTAACCCATTCGCCGCAATCACACCCGCAGAGACATCTCTGAGCGGCCCCCTTGGACTATCCACTTCTTCCTGCTCTTCTCCTTTCCCAACCGGAGCATCAAAATCCCACCTGGGCACCAACTCACACGCCCATTTCCCTTTGCCCTCGCCACACCTCGCCAGAAAATACCGCGCACACCCAATTGCGGTACTCAAAAACTTTGCCTCTTTCGTCCACGCATACGTCTGCGCGAAGCCCATTACCGACCAGGCCTGTCCGCGGCTCCACGTCGATGCATCCGCGTGGCCCTGATTCGTCATTTTGGCCTGCACGAGGCCGGTGCGGGGACAGAAATTGACGAGGTGGTACGACGAGTAGTCTTCGCGTAGGATTTCGTGGGTTATGCGATTAGCATGTGTAGTTGCTATGTGTGAGAGATGGGGTGAAGAGGTGGCGTGGGCGGTGAAGTAGAGGAGGTCGAGATCTTTATTTTTTTTAACGTTGATCAGTTTCATTAGGAACTAGGAGGGAAGGATGAGGGGGGGGGGGCGGGAAAAAACGTACTGCACATGCTGTCTATGATTACAAGAAAGTTTTCTTGCATGTTGGTGATGCTGTAGCGGTCGTTGATTGCGACGTCCCAACTTCGAATTGCCTGCACGCGCTCATCGTACCGCGATGCGAGTGCCTCGGCGGCATTCACGACGGCAGCGAGACTCGCTTTGTTGCCTGTTAGTTCCCAGTCGCGCTGCAGGGCGGGTTGCACGATGAAGCCCATGTCGTGGGTGTCTGTTCGGCTGGACATTTGCGCTATGGCTACGCTGTAGTGACGGCCGAGTTTCAAGAGGTATTCTTGCATTGTAGGGCGTAACTGCGGGGGTAACGACAGGGCTTGTGGGTATTTCATAGTGCGTTCTAGCAGGGTGTAGATGCTGCCGGGGAAGAAACCGCAGGTCCAGAAGAGGGCTTCGCGTTCTTCGTAGCGGCCTGCATTGGGTCCTGTTTGGGGTACTGTGTGGGGGTAGGAGGTTAAGGGGGCCTGGGGGTGTGGTTGTCAGATTTGAAGGGGTTTCAAAGGGGAGTTTGAGTTGGTGTGGGGGAAGAGGGTTACGCAACTGCTTGCTTTAGGCCTCGTTGTGCTACTTGGATGATTTTGGCGAGGACGTTTTCGGAGAAGATGGCGCTCAGATCGATGTTTTTGATACTGGTTATGATGGGTGAGAAGAGGTTACTATCAGTGGAAATAGGAAGCTTCGTACACTGCGGCTGGGACGAATCCATTGATTTCTTGTACAGCGTCACCCATTTTTTTTCAACTTGTTATTCAACACGCGTGGCCTGACTATGTCTGCAACAGGTGCGTTGGTGACGTCCTGATTGGGAGTATAGACGGCCTTTCAATGCGGTAATGTTCAAAATAGGTTAAACAATAGTTCCTAGGGTGTTCACTCGAGTTGAAAGGAACGCGACGGGGGGAAATGCCAGTAGAAGTAGCCCCCTCAGGCACCAAACTCATATTTGTAGACGCGCGCATATTTTCGTGGCTTATTTCGACGACGTCGGGTTATCTCGTTCCAACAAAGTTGGGCTGACGACTAGCCATGGGATCTGCATTGTTCCGATGCCCGCATCCTGCCCGTTTACGACCAAGGTAATCCATCCGCTATAGGAACGTCACCGCATTTGAAGTCTGAGTTCTTTCTTTTGCTTCTGTTCTCGGTAAATGCTGGAACTTGAGATAATCCCTACTAGTCTGAGCACGACTATTGATATACGTTCGGCATGTCACGCTACTAAGAAAAACGTCTGGGGCCCCTAGTTGGCTTAACTTGATACACGGATTAATTACTTAGTATGGCCGCTATAAATTAAATTATCCCCAAATTGCGGTTCGCGTATAGATAGTATGTAAAACAGACATAGAAAGAGCGCTGCACGCCTCGTCAAATGCTTCGCATCTTCGTCTTCAGGATGTTTTTCGGCGTTATCTGGGGACTCCTGTTGGGATCCTTGGCCACTGCTGTGCCGCAACACGAGTCGAAAAGGGCAGCCCCTACACTTCCATTGTCCACCAAGGGCCGAGACATCATCGACACCAATGGAAATGTCTTCCATTTCATGTCAACGAACTGGCCTGGCCATCAGGAGATCATGATACCTGAGGGCCTTCAACACTCCTCCATCGAAAAAATTGTATCTTGGTTCCCAAAGCTCGGACTGAATTCTGTGCGAATGCCATTTGCCATTGAGATGATTGACGACTACTTGGCAAACAGCCCTAATCAGACTCTAGAAAAGAGCGTTCTAGGATCTATACCTGGTACCAATGGCACGACCGTTTTGAACTCAATCTTGAAACACAATCCACAATTCACCAAAAACACAACTAGATTGCAAGTTTGGGATGCTGTCGCTAAAGAACTGGCGCGCCAGGGTATTTTTCTCCACCTTGACAACCATGTCAGCAAGGCTTTCTGGTGCTGCGGCGAGAACGATGGAAATGGGTGGTTCGGAGAAAAATACTTTGATGTTGAGAAATGGAAGCGAGGTTTGGCCTTTATGGCGAAACATGCAAGTACCTTCCGCGGTCAAAACCCTTGCTCAAAGCTAATCAATTCAGGCAAAGGAAAACTGGCCCACATTCTCCTCGATAGGTTTACGCAATGAGCTGCGGTCCGCTAAGGATGCTGAGCCTGTGGACTGGTACACATGGTATATCCACATGACAAGCGCTGCCAACGCCGTCCATCAAGCTGATCCGGATGCCCTCATATTTTTCTCTGGACTCTCCTACGATACTTATATCGACCCTATTCCACTTGGCAAGACGCTTAGCGGAACTGCTGGTACCTCTACCGCCAACAAGAAGGCCACGTTTGTCCCAACCGACTTTGCGTGGAAAAGTAAGATCGTTCTAGAGATTCACAAGTACGACTTTGAGGGAACAAAAGATGACTGCCAAACCTTCAAGAGAAAATGGTACCAGAATGGATTCCAGGCGGTCAACGCCAGTGACCCAGCGACCAAGTACGTCTTTCCAATGGTCATTTCCGAGTGGGGCTTTATCAACAACGGCGTTTACTGGAACCAAACAACGTATGCCAAGTGTCTGGTGGAGATGGTCAAAGAATACAAGGTTGGCTGGCAACATTGGGAGCTCTGCGGTAGCTTTTACCTCCAGACGCGACCGAATAGGCAGCCCAACACACTTGTTGGGGCAGATGAAGCTTGGGGTATCCTGAACTACGACTGGTCGGCTATCAGGTCGCCTATCACTCTTGAGAATAGTCTATTCAAGATGATAGCAGCCTTGAAATAGGAGATAGTGTGTTGGACTATGCTAGTATACTTCTGGTCAACCCTGCAAGAAGTTGAAAAATGTAGACCAGTAAGACACACCCGTATACAAGTAAACTCCTATCATGATTTAAGCTAGTGATGTGATGTGTAACAAGGAATCGTGATGACGTAGAACTTCAAAGAGGTATCTTATCCTGCTTGAATCCTCCATGCCGCCATGCACGTAAGCCGGCTTCTTTGTCAATCATGCAGCAGCCAAAGAAGGATGCAATATGCGTCATGTACGATGCACAGTTTCTTCACACAGCATCCTGAATCGAAATTTTCCTCCAGTGAATTTAGGCGAACAACGGGCCGAGGGACCTAGCCCTTCGTAAAACCAGACGCTACCTTCATGCCACGCTCGCCAAGCAGCCTCCTCACATAAGAGTCTGAGCTTCAATTCGCTACTCCACACTTTATCCGTCGCCATGTCAGTCTTCCGGCAGCTGGTGGCCGCCTGACGCAAGGGTGTTCCCGTCTTCGGCAGCAGATGTGAGATAACCGTGTACGAAGGACCCGTCGCCGCGGCAGCCATCCAAAAACAGGAATTACCCGGTGCCCGTTCTCCCAGATCCCCCAGATACCCCAGATCCCCCACTCAATTCCCGAGTCTTTGCTCACAACAGCGGGAGCTATTTATCAGACGAAATTCTGGGGTACGAGCCAATGTTTGTATGTCATCTCACAAGGGCCCCGTCTTTTTTGCACCCATCTCCCCGAAGTCAAGCCGAGGTATATTAACCTCACCCATAACAACAACAGCGACACAACGACAACAATGGCGAGTACGCAGCCTAGGAGCGAGAAGATTGGCCTCGCCGACAGGGCAGACGGGTTCGACACTAGTGTCATTGCGCCAGCCGAGGCGCCCAAAAGATCGCCATGGAAGGCGTGGATGTACCTCTGGGAATGGTATCCTCAGCATTATCCGCCAGAAGAGAGGAAACTTCTGAGAAAGATGGACGCATGCCTCTTGACGTTCTGCTCGTTCATGTGTATGTAAATCTGTGAGAATATTCCCAGATGCAAACTAAGAGCCGACACCCGCAGTCTTCTTGAAATGGCTCGACTCGTCGAACATCAAAAATGCCTACGTTTCCGGTATGAAAGAGGAGCTTGAGCTATATGGGAACGAGTATTCGCTCTTCGACACTTTCTACAATGTGGGATATCTTGTCTTCCAGGTCCCTTCTTTGCTGCTCCTTTCTAGACCGAGAGTCGCAAGGTACTATCTACCCACCATGGAAGTACTCTGGTCAATTGTGACCTTCTGCCAGAGTCAGATGCGCAGCAGAAACGACATATACGGCACTCGCTTCTTACTTGGTCTACTCGAAACTCCTGTGGCATCCGGCACGACGTACGTTCTGGGTTCTTGGTACAGGCCTGAAGAGGTGTTCAAGCGCACTGGAGTCTGGTACGTCTCTAACAACATTGCTGTTATGTTTGGTGGCTATCTACAAGCCGCAGCATACAAAAATCTGAATGGGTAAGTTACTGTGCTTCTAGCCTTTGAAAAAAGCCCCGTTCTGACGTTTGGTAGGGTCCGTGGCATGGCTGGGTGGCGCTGGCTGTTCATCATCGATGGGGTGATTTCTCTACCCATCGCTTTAGCCGGTTACCTGATTTTCCCTGGTCTCCCGAGTAGCAAGAAGCCATGGTGGCTCACGCCCAAAGAGCATGAATTAGCTCGGTCTCGCATGGTCAACGCAGGTGTACAGCCTAGCAAAGAGCTAAGCTGGACCGTGGCAAAGCGCACATTCACGCGCTGGGAATTCTACATGGGCATACTCTGTTACACCTTGTACGTCTCTATCTCATTGGCACCCAAATCTATCCTCACTAACACCCCAAAACAGTTTCCTATCCTCATCCTACCCACACGGACAAATGGCCATCTGGCTCAAGGACCTCACGGCAAAGCATCCAGGCGCATACACTGTGCCCCAGATTAACACGATTCCCACCGGTGCTCAGGGTGTTTCTGTGTTCGCCGCTCTACTCGCAACTTCGCTCTGCATGGTGTACCCGCTCTGGTCCATCTTCTCTATTGTTCAGAGCATTTACATCATAGCAAATATCTCTCTGTTGATCTGGAACATACCCAAGGGCTACCACTTTGCCTGCTACTACCTCCTCGGTGTATCAGCAGCGATAACGCCCATACTCATGCCTTTTATCAACATGGCGCTGCGTGATGATGCCGAGGCACGTGCGGTCACAGTTGGTGCGATGCTAACGGCTGGTTGGGCGGTGTTTTCATTTTATCCCATTACGGTATTTCCGATTGTCGAGGGCCCGAGATGGACTAAGGGGTATGCGGTCAATATCTGCTTTATTGTTGGGTGCTGGGCTACGTTTCTGATTATGCAGTATTTGTATAAAATGAGTGAAAAGAGAAAGCAGGCGCTTGTGGTTGGGGACATGATGAAGAGCGATAAGGATATGGTGGGGGTGGATGTGTATGACAAAGATGGAGCCGAGGTGGAACGTGGGGAATCGAGAAGATAATGTGGTGGACTTTTTGATTTAATGTGAGTTTAGTTTTGTGTTACCCGCGACTATCCAAGACAATGAACCAGCTAAGTGAGGATCACAATATACTGCTGCTAGTTGTTGGATATCGATACTTTCCATGCCTAGCATCCCTTACCTGCTTCCAACATTGCTGGACGGCTGACAACTTGGTGGGCTCCCAACATTTGTCAGGCTGCGAATAGCTACCAATACCGGCGAGCACTAAACCAACATAGCGACACACTACAGGTTACTTGTCAAAATATCTCTTCATCTCAATCTCTCGTATTCCTCTTCAGATATCGTCAACATAACGCAAATCCACCTAACAAGCATGGAATGTCCGCGGAACCTTGACATAAATGGCTTGACAGGATTCACGCCCCATTCTCCACAACGGCACAACAATCACATCTACCTGACCATGGGCAAATCCCCCAAATTCCGCATGACCAGCTTGCCCAGAACAAAAAAACCCCATGTTAAATCACAATGATGTCGATCTGTCGTAGCACAAACCCCATCCAATCAGACCATTTCCCAAGTCCCCGGCTCATCAGCCCCGCATTTCTTGGGCATCTTAATAGGACCCACTTTGAAACTAACTACGCCGCAATCTAACTTTGGCGAAGCAAGATTTCTTGCATGAAAAGGAGTGCAGCGGGCTGCGCGGGATTTTATTTGCTTGGAATGCTTTGCTAATTGGGTAGCGGTGATTTTCGGAGCGGGCCCTACGTCGGGCAAGGGCTGGGTAGGAAATGGAATAGTAGTAAGCAGTACCTTTGGGATCGCCCGCGGCTGCAAGGCACGATGTTTTTTTTTGTATTTGCGATGCCAAGGGAGAGAGGGGACGCGTATGAGGTGTTGTTACATCATGTTGTAATTGTCGTGAGATGTACTTGTACATAGGCTTCGGGTGATCCTGTTTCCTGGTCATTAATGGTGGCTTTGCATCTTTACTTTGTATGTTTTTTCTTATACTGCGGTACTTTTCAAATTGTTTCTCGAAAGAATACTACGTATAATGGCTATTCTTCGCTCTTCAAATATGTTGATGCGCCGCTTTGCGCGTCCGGTCCCACCGGCGTTCCATGTGCGGCCAGTAACAATGTCTCTTCAACGCAGGACGTTTGCGTCGAATCTGGACGCGGGGTTACCTCAGGTTCAGCGCAACAAGGCTGAGAATGGAGGAGAAAAGAAATTTGGCTCTTTTGATATTTCAGGAAAGGTTTTCGTAGTTACAGGTACAGACAGCCAGCCGATTTCTACGGCCACCGTTGTGCATTCATGATTGACGCTAAAATTTCGATAGGCGGAGGTCATGGCCTAGGACTATGCATGGCAGAAGGTCTCGTAGAAGCTGGTGGCAGAGTCCACTGTCTCGATCGATTGCCAGAGCCTCCCAAAGCATTTCAAGAAGCGCAAGCACGAGCGAACAGTTCCAATGATGCAGGTCTAAGATACCACGCCGTTGACGTCACACACGACGAAGCCATTCAAAAATGTATCCAAGATATCGCGGATCAAAAACAAAGACTCGATGGTCTCATCGCAGGTGGGACAACACCCACATTCAGCAATCACCACAAACCAACTAACCTGTTGTACAGCCGCAGCAGTCCAACAAGTCACCCCAGCCCTCGACTTCCAAAAAGAAGACATTGCAAAAATACTCGACGTAAACTTCACCGGCGTCTTCCTGACCGCCCGAGAATGTGCCCGCCAAATGCTGCGCTACAAAATTCAAGGCTCAATCTGCCTCGTCGCCTCCATGAGCGGTACCATTGCAAACCGGGGTTTCCTAGCCCCCGCGTACAACTCCTCAAAAGCAGCAGTCGTCCAACTAGCACGCAGCTTGGCAATGGAGTGGGGAAGGAAGAACGAAGACGGGTCTGGTGGAATTCGGGTCAATTCGCTGAGTCCTGGGCATATTATTACGCCAATGGTTCAGGCGAATTTCGATGCGGGCGAGGCGGATCCGAGAGAGTGGGAGAATAATAGTATGTTGGGACGGCTTAGTACGCCGGAAGAGTATAAGGCAGCGGGATTGTTTATGCTGAGTGATGCGAGTAGTTATATGACGGGGCATGATTTGAAGATTGATGGGGGGACGACTGCTTGGTGAGAAGATGGGGTTAGTTTGCTGGCCTTGTGCATTTTGAGCGTTCTTTGCGATTATTCTGGTGTTCAGATGGCTTGGGATGGATCATGAGTCTTGATGTAACATGAAATTTATTTGCTGTTGTACTCTGTACCATGGTGTAGCAGTATCCACGTGTTGTCGATGTCGAGGGTACCATCAGTGCATGGGCCCCACCAGGGCCTTGCCCGCATCGGCTCTAGTTTACAATCGGACTATCTGTCCTTCCGCGCTCCCCTTGCGACAGCTGTACAATTCCACGAGCGCCCTTTCACAGAGAGAGTGAGAGAGGCACAACGAAACGTCGGGCTTGCAAGCGCTGCAGCTCTCAACAAATCCCAGGACCCCAACCAATTCGACAATGGACCGGTTAGCACGCCTCGTCAGCTACCTGCTGCTTGCCCTTCTCCCTCTTACTGCGGCCCTCAAATTCGACCTTCATCCAGTGGCCGAGCGCGATTCTGCCCGATACGAACGATGCATTAGAAATTTCGTTGCAAAAGAGCAGTTGGTGGTTGTTACGGCGATATTGGATGGGTACAGGGGAGATGGCCAGAGGGTTGATATGCATGTATGTTTTTTCTTGAATCCAGGCACGATACACGGACGCAATTGCATTCGCCATGACATATGTACAGCCATTCTACCAACAGAAACGTTTTAGTAACCAGGAAATCTTCTAGATCCGCGACGCAATGGGCAACGACTACCACCGCCCCAAGGACGTAGTAGGCGAGAACCGCTACGCATTCACCTCGCACGCCGACTCGGTCTTTGACGTCTGCTTCGCCAACGTCTTCACAACTGCCTCGTCGTCCAAGTCGATCAAGCCCCGCCACGTCGAACTCGACATTGACATTGGTGCCGACGCTAAGGACTGGAACGCCATCTCCGCCAGCGAGAAGCTCAAGCCCGTCGAGGCCGAACTACGCAGGATCGAAGAGGTTGTCGGCGAGATTGTTAGGGAGATGGATTACTTAAGGTGGCGTGAGCAGAGGCTCAGGGATACGAATGAGAGTACCAATGAGAGAGTCAAGTGGTTTGCTATTGGCACCATGGGCATGTTGGTTGGACTGGGTGCGTGGCAGATTATTTACCTCAGGGCTTATTTCAGGAGTAAGCACCTTATCTAGATGCATACACAGATTGAGGGGCTGGGGGATGTGTGTGTACAAGAGATTGTGGTGGAAGAAGCAGAGGGCAAAGGGCATGTGTATGAACAGCGTTATGGATTGCATACTTGGCAGGCAATGGCAATTGAAGCGGCGTTGGGAGTGATATTATACCAAGAACAAAAAATTCAAATCATTGTCATAATGTTTCTTCTACCAGTGGTCTCTGTTGGTGACGACGCCCGTTCTTGATTGCTCGGTCATGTAGGCCCTCAACGGCATTTACAAAACACGTGAACCCCGCATGTAAACACATTCTATCAAGTTGGCCACGAGAGCAGCAAAAAATATACAAAAAATTTGCTTAAATGCACGCATCACGAAGAATTCCCAAGTTACTTAGGAAATCGCTAGCAGGATACATTTCCAGAGAGATAGGACATTCCCAACGAATGACTGAATTCCATTTCTCATAATCGTCATCAAAAACGAACGTAATGCGCATGATGCTCAGCCACCAGCAACTCGTGCTGGACTTGAACATACATGATCGAAACGAATGTGTGTTATATACAACAAGGTAGAAATGAGCGTGAGTAGTGCAATGACACACTGTTTTTTTTTTTTTGCAAAAGAGTGGAATGTGCTATTTGAGCAGAAAGAATACAAGACTTGGCAGGTTGCAAGTATCTATCAAACGGTCACATACTCGATGACGATGGACGTGACGACGGTCGTCTGGGGATCCGCAGGAGCTGTAGGAGCTGGGGATGGCTGAGGTGTAGAAGGTTGGTCTGCAGCTGGGGGCGTAGCGACTGGTGTTTGGGTGGATGGTGCGGGTGAAGAAGATGATACCGCTGCTGACTGCGTAACGGAAGAAGAAGAAGAAGAAGAAGAAGAAGAAGTTGCAGACGATGCAGGCGAAGAAGATGTAGGCATAGAGGCTACAAGCGACGAAGCCACAGGCGCTGACGTAGCTGAAGTCCCGTTATTCCCTACTGGCATGCTAATCGGCTTCAACAGCACATTCTCGGGCATCTGCTTTGGTACGTCTGAATTCTCAATCTCGGATACAAGCGTGGCATTTTTCCAGACGAATTTTCCGGCAATGGCGTCGTACTGGCCTGTCATCTGTTGATCGGGTAGCGTCGAGTTCGTGCCGTCGGGTCCTGGTCCGTTATACACAGGGGGGTTCCCATTGATATCCGTGTTGTACTGCACGTTGCCGTGCGAGATGGGGACTTGGGTGTTTGATTTGGGGATGCTGACTGCCACGTTACGGATGGTAACGTTGAGGCCTGGAGGGGGCTTGCTACGTGGGATTTCAGTGAGGTCGAGGGCTTGGATGCGCCAGCTGAAGTTTTCCTTAAGGTAGCTTTCGACTGTTTCTTTTTTAAGATCTTTGAGTTCCCCGGATTTGTGCTTGCGCATGAGGGCTTCGGAGAGCCCGATGTTGCCGGTTACGGTGAGAGCGGAGTTAGATCGGGGAGAGGACATGGCGGCGAGTTGGCCGATATAGTTGTCGTCGGTTGGCCAGTCGGCTGGGTTGAAGCTTGGTTCACCAAGGAAGGCGCGGACAGAGTACGAGATGTGGATGTTGGCTGGCATGTTAACTTCGCAAGACCAATCGATAGCTGGTAGGGTAGCATTCTTGCCCACTGGAGCTGGCAAGGTCGTGTTTCCGGGTTGGGTTGAGTTGCTAATTGGCAGAGCAGGGGTCTGTGGCTTATACAACTGGTTGATAGTAGAGGTGAGTGTCTTGTTGCTTGGGTTACCAACAAGCTCGGGGTAGGTGTAGCCAAAGGCAGTCCAGTCGCGTGCGGTGGTAGATGTCCACATATCACCCAAGGCATTCATGTGGAATGGTGGAAGAGGTGAGGCTGGCCCTAAAACACTGCCTCTGGCAATAGCGAACGTCCCTCGATCTTGTTTGGAATCTTCGACATAGGTATCAGGGTAGCGAGCCTGAAACAGCGCCAGAAGCCGATCAACATTGCTAGACTTTGTCAGAAGAAGCTTTTTTTTCTCTCTCTCTACGCAATGTGGCATACCAGTGGTGGAACCAAAAGACAGGATCAAATGCAGACACTTCTATAATTCCCATGTGTCCCAGCCCAAACACATTGTGTACACCGTCATGAACGCTTTCAAAGTTGCCAATGCTACCACCATTGGCCCTGTTGCTCACTTGGTTATACGGTTGGTAGGTCGTGAGCAGCTTATAGACGGTATTACGAATACTGTCCTGCTGCTTGCCTATTACCACGTTGACATCGTCATCACGACTAGTAGCATTGGCGAAGTAAGGATTGAGTGGGTAGCGAATAGTATGGTTCCAATCCTTGAATTCATACTCGACCTGGAACAACGTTAGTACTTTGCATGTATTTACAAGGTAGTTTCCGCCCTTTATCTAGAGAGAACAATAATATGACATACCAATTCAGCGAAAACTTTCCGAGGCAATGGATTGAAATCGTATCGGAAGAGGGGATTCGGGATTTCTCCCACAGTCCCGTCCGGATGTGTGACTGAAAGGCGTGGAACCCGCAAAGTCGCCGGTATCACACCTTCATCTGATTTCAACGGCTTTCTCGCCCAGTCCCAGAATGGAAGGCGTACTCGAGCCGCAATTTTCATAGCTTTGTTACGAGCCTGGCCAACAGGGTACTCTTTGGCAACGTCGACTGCGCGGTCGTGGAGAATCTGTTCGAACAGCGCGAGGTATGGGCGGTGCCATGAGCCAAATATGTTAGATGAATGGGGGCAGTAGCCCATCTTCTCTTGGCCAGGAATGCCTTTGACCTTGTCCCACTGTCCAAAAGGTACTCCATGTATCCCTGGAAATGGTAAGAAAAGATGAGCCTTATGGGAGATGCAACATTTCTTACCGGCGATCTCATAGTACGAAGTCTTCTGAGTCTGATCCATAGCCTGGAACCGAGCAAACGCAAGTATAAACATATTCCAAAGTTCACCATCTTGCTGAAGCTCTCGGAGCTCTAGCCGCGGATGCACTCCAGTGCCCTGCACCCCGACAACGCTGAAATAGCTGTCATCTGGCTTTGGGGCACCACAAGAAGGCCCATCAGTGTGGTTGAATGCCGCGTGTGTGCTGCTCAGAAAAGAAAGGAAAGCAATAGACCCAGCGATAAGAGAAGCGAATGATTTCATCGTGGCCAGCCGAGAAAGAATGGAAAGATCAAAAGATCAAAAGAACGAATGTAATGTGAAAGAGTGAATGCCACTGGGACCAAAAGAAGGACTGAGCAAGCAGCGCTGCGGTGCACATTTGGAAAATGATGCCATCGACTATATAGAAGCTTCGTGAGATTAACAGTCTACGGTGCAACTCTTTCCCCACCCGCACATGTATGACGTCCTAGGCTGTGCAATGGATACTTTATGCGTTGCCGTTTTTCGAGACTGCTGATTTGACGACTCCCCGGAGGAAGTGTAATCTCCTTCTAGGGATCCTAGAGGGCCGTTGTGGGGGAGTGTATATGCTCGAAACATGTTTGGTTTCTTCGCATGAACAAACGGACTCAGATGGCACGGCTGACAGCCCACTTGCAGGGCTGGCCAGAATCAATGGCCGCGGCAAAGGCATTGTTTCCAAGACGCTGGAAAGCTTGGGTTGATAGCGGGGTATTTTGGGGTCGCTACTAGGCTCAGTCTCTTTTGCAAGGGTTCATAGGCGTGCAGGTGGTTGCAGACACTTTGGTCTAAGAGAAGCCATAGTACATGATTGCTTCACATGATGCTGTATGCTAATATCTTCGATGGAAGCTACACAAGACGGTTGGTGGTGCCATCCGGGAGATATCGTGGTGTTGCCAACACGGAGATGACAGGTGCTTGGCACGGACCATCATGCCATGGTGAGACACTTCTGAGGATGGAGTGGACAGCCATTGTAGACATCCTGTCTATCCTCAATCTGATTGGCTGGTTTGATATGGCCTTTACACTGGGCTATACGCAGGCACGTGTTGATTGCTAACGATAAGGACTGCCAGGTCTTGGCAGCTATGCGTTCTTCTCCACAAGCGGTGATGCAACGCTCTTACGCACAACTTATCCTGGCTAGTTTTCGTGATTGATCTCGAATTTACACTCGGAGTTTGAGCAGGACATAGTAGTATCGGGAGCGCCTGGCAAGACTGGTACGTACATGAACATTTATGGCTATCCATGTGCTCACGAGCGACCATGGCTATTCCTTCTGCATGCGTGTCTGTTATGATGGGCCAGGCAAATCCACCAGGCAGAGGACATTTGAACATTGGAATTCCATTGACACAGTATCGCGGGGTGATCTGAAGCTGGGCCTTGTTAGTGACAAGGATCGCTTTTGTGACTACATCTGTAAAGAATTTACAGAGCACTGTTAGCCATTAGTACTTGATTTAATATGCGCACTGCGAACGTTAGTCTTCTTCAATGGCAAACCATAGAAAACAGAAGATAAGATTCTCCGTCTCCGCCCATATTCTACTTGCTCCTGCTTCCGAAAACTTAGCATCTTGCCATATTACCACGACCAACGTACATATATAGTATTTCAACAACATCTCATTGGAAAACCCAAGTCCTTCTTGGTCTAAGACAAAGCAGGTAGTATACTAGTAGAATTGAACAACTAAGCCCCCTTACGCAACACCACAAGCAAATGATCCGCACAATTCAACGTTTCCTTACGCTCCGCACTCAGCATCACCACATCCACCCACCTCTCCATCTCCACCTCCTCCAACGCCGCAAACCCCTTCGCGCCGCCCGACCCGAGAAAGCCCTCACAACTCAACACCCTCTCGACACCCACTTGGTCCTGGAAAGCGACGAATTCTTCCGAGAGATCCGCAGGCTCCACATGGAAAGACGTCGTGGCCGGGTTCCTCGTGTACGCCCCGCTATGCAGATACTGGCTGTAAAACTGCCACTCGCGCGCAAGACGCGAGGGCTCGCGCTGCGCTACATCGCGGAGGTGCGCATATATCGTTACGTAGGCGAGGAGGATGCAGCCCCCCGGTTTGGCCATTGCGATACAATTTCGTATCACGCTTGCTCGCTCCGCAGGCGCGGTGAGGTGGTACAGTGGGCCGAGACACAGGACTACATCGAAGGAACCATTGGCAGCGTCGAGGAGTGGGTGTTGTGAGATATCGAGTGCGTTTGCGTGGATGATGGCGTTGAGTTTGACGTCTTCCTTTTCCGCGTTCCTTCTTGCAATGTCCAGGCTCTTCTCTGACAAATCACACAGGGTGACTTGGTGGCCTTGGTTTGCTAGTGCGATGGCTGCAGTCATCTCCCGTTAGCTACGGCGTTCAAGATGGTTTGAGTAATAGGTGGTGCAGACCATATCTGCCAGGCCCACCACCAACGTCCAAGATCTTTGCCTGGTGCAAGCCCAACGTAGACAAGCAGGAATCGATAGTCCGCTTGGTCACTTCGAACTCGAGTCGCCCTTCGTCCAAGCGGTGCTCCTCGACTTCAGCGTGTGCATCATACCACTTTTCAACCAGAGTTTTTCCTTCCATCGTTTCCCTCGCCGTCGGTCAATAGTATCTCTCAATCAATCGTTAGATGCCATTAATGAAGATACTTATGTACGTGCAACCCATTCCTCACGGGACCATTTAGATAAATACCTTCCTGCGCGATTAAACACCTGGTTGAGGCTTTTATCAGTTATGGTCGGAATAGCATTCCGATAATTTACGCAAATCGCGCGGCTGATTGTCGATAGGTGGCGTTGTAAATATGATACGACACGATAGCATGAGTGTCTTAGTGCGGGGGGTGGGGGTGGGGGAGAAGAGAATGTCTGCTGCAAAGGCTGAGGCATTTCAGTAATAATTGAAATATCAAATTTGTAGAACATTTGCGTCACGGCGAGGTTTTGTGTAACGTGTTTCACCACCGAGCGCCGCACCCCACCGAGCGCCGCAGTTCCCCCACCAAAACAACGTCGCAATACTTCTTACCCAACACCGCCACAGTTTTTAGTATTAAGTAGAATAAGATATTATTCTTTAGACGCGTCGCTGTCCTCTATATCCTCTAATTCTACTTAGCACGTATGGGAGTTGTGTCCAACTTAGCTATAACGCCCGCAGCGCCGTTCACTGCGCACCCTCTTCGTAGACGTTACACTATTATTACAGCTACTACCCTCTACCTTAGCGATCTAATTAGCTATCTAGCTAACTATCTAGGACCTCTCTGCCTATAGGTAGCGCCTCTTGCGAGTTTTTCGCTTCGTTACTTTACTAATTATAGCTTTAAGGCAATTAAGTTTCTTATATATAAGTACTATATTATAAGCTATCTACTAAGCGCCCTTACTTAACTACTATATCTACTCTTTAAGAAAAGTTGTAGGAGACTCTTACTAGATTTATATATAGTTTTAAATAAG